TGAAATGAAGCAATCATATACTTACAAAATGCACAAAACGTACATCTGCTTAAATTCGTCTGCTAGCTGTCATTTTGAGAGATGGAGTGTTCATTATATATATTTTTTTAATTTAAAAAAATATATTTTGGGGTTTTCTTTTAATAAAATATTTCATGAAATAGAGAAACACACTTGGATAAAACTTAAGAACCTCAAACTTTAAATATTCAACTCTCCCATTATGACCTTCTGACCTTTTAGCAACCTTTTCCACAACCACTTTGTACAGTGCTCAAAAGTACTATTTGCACCATATTTCAACTTGGAACCAAACTTGTTATTTAACTAGCATGTCTGATGAATACAAAAAACACAATGTCTTGCTTTCATCACAAAACCTCCACGGGACTTGAATGCTGTACCCATCCTACCAGACTATTATCCTAATATTAAGCTGGAATGTTGCTGAGAGTGGCGAAAACCATGGGACATGTACAACAACCTTGCGTTTACACTACGATTACCATGGTTACTAGTAGCTAAAGCAGGAGAATGAGCGAGTTAGTTGGAATTTACACCGCTGTTATAAATATTTCAGCAATTTCACGACGGAGGACACCAGAAATAGGCTTCACACATTATATCCATGTGGGGAATCGAACCCGGACCTTCGGCGTGACGAACTAGGCTACCCCAAAGCCCTTAACGCGGAAGAAAATGACAAGGCCTCAACAAAAATTCGAAAAACAACAAAGGAAAGAAAACATCCAACTCTACGTACTCCCAATATTTTTTCACGATTACAAAGTGGGTTAATTGTTATATCACCCATTCTCATTCTTAATAACTTGAAGGTACAAGGCACATCTTGCAATATATAGTGTAAGGCGGCTTATTTGTCTCCAACAGATGACGTTACCTTCTGTTACACGTCATTACATTACACAAAGTGACCTCATTCAGTTTGGTTGGTTGAAATTGTCATTTTGTATTGACCAATCAACCATCTCCAAAACACATTCCTGGTTTAAGATGAAATGTTCAGATATCCACAAACAAAAGTCAGCTATCCCTCTGTTATTTTCAGGCAATGACATATGAAAGGTAGTATATTGAAATGTTTATTAAAAATAACCATTGTCCAATAATTCCTAAGACTACTGCCTCCATTACAGGACACTATGATCCACACAACTTATCATGGATAGGTGACAGAGGTAGCATTCTTAGAATTTTGAACCATAGGAACAATATTAAATCAAACAATCACAGTTACAATCGGTTTCTTCTTTAGCATCATTGGGATTCAAGCAGCCAATCCATAAAGTAGTAAGTGTGATTCTTCAGCCAAGGTCTTGGGTGCAACATCAAATTAATCTACAATATACCTAATCTGCTGTGGGAATATAAGCGATTTGTGGCATGGATTTTAATGTGTGCAACATGGCACTAGCTGAACTACTTAGAAGCTTACAATAAGGTGTAAATCAATGTTTACAAATTCTGCAATAAATCCAATAGATAAATAATCTTTTAAACAGAAAGTCTTGAGTACTATCACCAAAGCACCCTGAACACTGGTGACACATATACGAGAACTATCATCCTTCATTGTGAATGCTCTGCAACTGCCTGTTGTACTGTATTGGCCAAGATAGAAAGTGTGATTTGTTTGACATGCCCAGTAACACTGCTACTTTAAAACTGATGGTTTGAAATATTAAAGAGATATTTCATTAATTTTAGATTTATTTTTCAGGTTTGACTGACTGGTGCAACAATAAGAAAATAAACTGTTTCATTGGATTTTGATAATGCTGCCTGAATTTGAAGGATTAAAAAAAAGATGCAGCATGAAATATGTACTAAATGTTCTTACGTATAATGCTAAAAACTACGTAATGAAATGAATTGTATTCATGTTTCATTTTCTGGTCCCTACAAACCACTAGGAATGACCAAAAAAATTCTTTTTGGACGATCACTGTGAATTCATGTACATTCTTCGGCAAATATGCCCACCATCATATTGTACTATGCCAGTAGGGACAGGACAGTGTATCTCAATGTTGCTTCCTATAGATGTTTCTGACACCAGTAGCGATAGGACAGTGTATCTCCACGCTGCTTCCTATAGATGTTTCTGACACCAGTAGCGATAGGACAGTGTATCTCCATGCTGCTTCCTATAGATGTTTCTGACACCAGTAGCGATAGGACAGTGTATCTCAATGTTGCTTCCTATAGATGTTTCTGACACCAGTAGCGATAGGAAAGTGTATCTCCATGCTGCTTCCTAAAGATGTTTCCAACACCAGTAGCGATAGGACAGTGTATCTCCATGTTGCTTCCTATAGATGTTTCTGACACCAGTAGCGATAGGAAAGTGTATCTCCATGCTGCTTCCTATAGATGTTTCTGACACCAGTAGCGATAGGACAGTGTATCTCAATGTTGCTTCCTATAGATGTTTCTGACACCAGTAGCGATAGGACAGTGTATCTCCATGCTGCTTCCTAAAGATGTTTCCGACACCAGTAGCGATAGGACAGTGTATCTCCATGTTGCTTCCTATAGATGTTTCTGACACCAGTAGCAATAGGAAAGTGCATCTCCATGTTGCTTCCAATAGATGTTTCTGACACCAGTAGCAATAGGAAAGTGCATCTCAATGTTGCTTCCTATAGATGTTTCCGACATCAGTAGCGATAGGAAAGTGTAACTCCATGCTGCTTCCTATAGATGTTTCTGACACCAGTAGCGATAGGAAAGTGTATCTCCATGCTGCTTCCTATAGATGTTTCTGACACCAGTAGGGATAGAAAAGTGTGTCTCCATGCTGCTTCCTATAGATGTTTCTGACACTAGTAGGGATAGAAAAGTGTGTCTCCATGCTGCTTCCTTAAGATGTTTCTGACATCAGTAGCAATAGGAAAGTGTGTCTCCATGCTTCTTCCTATAGATGTTTCTGACACATGTAGGGATAGGAAAGTGTGTCTCCATGCTGCTTCCTATAGATGTTTCTGACACCAGTAGGGATAGGAAAGTGTGTCTCCATGCTGCTTCCTATAGATGTTTCCGACACCAGTAGCGATAGGAATGTGTGTCTCCATGCTGCTTCCTATAGATGTTTCTGACACCAGTAGGGATAGAAAAGTGTGTCTCCATGCTGCTTCCTATAGATGTTTCTGACACTAGTAGGGATAGAAAAGTGTGTCTCCATGCTGCTTCCTAAAGATGTTTCTGTCATCAGTAGCAATAGGAAAGTGTGTCTCCATGCTGCTTCCTATAGATGTTTCTGACACCTGTAGGGATAGGAAAGTGTGCCTCCATGCTGCTTCCTATAGATGTTTCTGACACCAGTAGGGATAGAAAAGTGTGTCTCCATGCTGCTTCCTATAGATGTTTCTGACACCAGTAGGGATAGAAAAGTGTGTCTCCATGCTGCTTCCTATAGATGTTTCTGACATCAGTAGCGATAGGAAAGTGTGTCTCCATGCTGCTTCCAATAGATGTTTCTGACACCAGTAGGGATAGGAAAGTGTATCTCCATGCTGCTTCCTATAGATGTTTCTGATATGGATTTGATCCTCAAACAAAGTTCTTAGTACAGTACAGTACAGATCAATTCTAACCCGGATCTTCATGGGTCCTATTACGAAAACACCGTGGGGCTGTCGATAGATGTATAAAGAAAAAAATGGACAAAGTTGAATGATAATGATCCTGATGATGGTGCCGAAAAGATTCTTACCATTAAGATCAACACAAACTTCCAGTTAGATCAGCGTGATAACCTTTCTATTTTGATTCAGGTTTAAGAGCCAGTGTGCCATAGGTACCAAACTTTGCTTTTATTTAGTGGCGAAACATCTTGGAGATATAAGGGGTTTGGTTATGCCAAACAGGTTTTTGAAAGGCCTTGATAATAGGAGGATACAATGGTATTTTTCTAATTTACAATTCTCACAATAGTGTGTGATACTTTTTTGTGAATGAAATGTGTTGCCTATGCTGATGGAGACATGATAGCTACCAAGTCAGATTCCAATGTCATAATTTCCTTATATCCAGAGATGCCAACCCTGATTTAGTCCAATAAGTATTTTGGCCAAAAACTGATGCAAAAATTAGTATTTTTGCCAAACATAGTATTAACTTTTCCAAAGAATTTTCATAGTTAATAAAAATATATAGATATTCTAGTAACTTGTTATTAACATTGTACTCACCTACATCAGTAGTAAGTATCCACATATAGCTTGATACTGAATAAAATGTGGTTGAAATTTATTGTGTATGGTACATATGCTATTTGATAATTTAATGTATTTTTTTATAAATTTGTATATTTTTACTGCTATTGTAGTCGCTTATTTTGTGTTGTTTTTGTAACGAATACGATAGTATGGGTTGGCATCTCTGTTATATCAAAGGCGACATGAGGTAAAACTGTATTTAACACTGTCTTCGATATTATCACTCCTATACAAAAACACACATCTGTTTGTGTGTTTGCATGTACCAGTCTGCACTAAAACTACTTCATAGTACTAGCCCACTGAGATACCATGCCGCGGTTATACATAATTACACCCCGGAGTTTGGTGAGTGACTCTGAGCTGATCAGTTCTGGTTTAATCTATGCTGAGTTAATAACAACAAGAACCATCTCTTTTGGCATGATGTGGCATAGATTGAATCAAAGCTCTTCTGCTTGCTGGGAAGATGCCCTTTCAACCACTTCAAGATGCCTAGATGCCAGTCTATGTTGTATTGAACTTTGCTTTTAGCTTGGTCCCAGCCTATTCCTTATCGAGTCATCTTTTCTGTGTCGAACTCTGGATAACCTGAAGTATTTTTGTAGGTCCCTTCCACTTCATCACAACCGTGTTTGACGGCATGTCTTATCTTACTGATAGTGATACCAGAGTTTTACTCATTACCGTGTGTCTTTGACTAAATGCCAGATCATTGGGTACACAACTGTCAGGGAATTAAAACTACAAAAACATAACAACATAAACATGCCTTTACATCATCAATGGACATTAAAATCATAAGAAAATATGGTGTTAAAATCCTGAATACAATCTCGGATAAAAAATCCTTGATAACAAATTTTCGGTCCATGTATACTAACATAAAAAAAAACCCCATTCATCAGACATCCAATGATTGCACTTCTTTCAAGTCTTCTTTCAGTATAATGTCCATTCCTTCAAACAGGTAGTAGCCATTAAACTTAGCTCCCTTTAACATCAGGGGAAACCACAGCTTGTCATCAGGCCACATGATGTCGTACGGTATTGAGTCGATATCGTACCACTGGGGACGCATTTCTGGGGAGAAAATGTTTTTGTAATCTTAACACCGAAATACAATACATCCTGAGGTCACTGATGTCTCATCAACACTCCTCCTGCCTGTATACACGAAGGTCCTCAATCATGACAGTCACATTGAAAAGGGAATATAATATAAATTATTGAAATCTTGAAAGAATTGAGAGCATGGTCAATGTGCAAATGTGAGAATATGGTCAAAGTTGAAAATGTCACAAATAAGATCATATAAGTACCAATTCTAACTCTTTGATTACACTCTACAAAGAAATATCTGTGTAATGTCCACAAATAGTGTTTTTAAATATGGCACAGCAAGTTTCAACTTCATCCATTAGCTGGTTGCAGAGATTGAGTGAGTAAGTTGCGTGAGTGAGTGAGTGTAGTTTTATGCCACTTTTAGCAATATCCCAGAAGGTGACACCATAAATGGGCTTCACACATTGTACTTATGTGTAGAATCGAACCTAGGTCTTGGGTGCGATGAGCAAAAGCTTTCACCGCTAGGCTACCCAACTGTCCCTGGTTGCAGAGAAGATGAGCATAGCCATTGACAACAGACAATGAGAAAAGCTCCAAGACAGGTCAGCTATATCTGAAACAAATGTTGCTTTGGTCGACATACCAGAAGTCTCTGTGGGTTCTCCTTCATAACCGCGTGTGTGGAACACATGCACCTCCAACCACTGTGGCATGCCAACAAACTCAAACTTGAGGACACCAATCTGCTCCAGTTTGTGAGCTGTCAGTCCACTTTCTTCCTTCAGCTCTCTGAAGCATGTATACAGAGCATCATCAGCATCATCCTCAGCATATTGTGTCTCACAACAATAACTAGAAACATTACTGAGAAGAAACCTTTGGTTCCTGCAAATGGCTAGCCAAATGTGAAGATAAGCTACCTTTTCTAACCATAAATGATCATTCATGTATCCAATATTTGGGTCATTGGCAATCGGAGAAGGGTCACCCCAAAATATGAGAAAAATGTTTACACTTTCTAGTACAGATTTCTTGTACTTTTTACAGTTTAGCCCCATCTGGGATTGGAACCCACACTATCAGAGTGAAGTATCACCAGCACACAAAGTATGCAATCTAACCCACTCAGCCACGTTGGCTTCCACAAAATGGTTGTCTGACAACATGAAGACTTGATCCCATACTTTCTGTACTCCTCTGTGTAAATTGGCAGGGCTCCTATGGTTGATAGCTATGAATACACAATGCCACAAATAAAGTCCAATATATCATATGTTATATCTAGGGTTACACTTTCACTATTTTCAACACAAAGGCACTGACTATTTAAAAGTTGCAGTGGTCGAGGCAGGTGAGTAGCCTTGTCGTTAACATGTTCCTTCTTCATGCCCAAAGCCCATGTTGGATTCTCCAATGTGTGAAGCAAACTTCTGGGGCCGTAAGTTTGAAGCAGGTTTTAAGGTAGTTTAAGCTAGTCCAGGTCTAAATCTTGATTTAAACCAAGTCTGGTAATTTCAAAGCAGGTTTAGCCTTAAACCTGGTTTAAAGTGCCAACAGAGCATGCTCAAACATGGGTTTTCACAAATTCAGGAGTGGAAAATCAATGAAACATAATTAATACATTTAGACCTGGTCTGAATGCTAGTTTACCTCAACTACCTTTCCATATTACCGTTTAGTTAGCCCTGCATTGTTAGTAAGTATGGTTTTACATTCACACAGCTTTTGTCAATATTCAGCAGTATCACTAATAGGGACCCCAGGGGCCACAAGTTCGTAGCTCGAAGCAGGTTTAGTGCTAGTCCTGGTTTAGTTAAACCTAGACCATTGATTTATTTTGTTGAAAATATTATTTTACAAATGATTGGCACGAAGATACTGTATTAGTATCCCATCCAATTTAGCAGACTGCTGACTATAGCAACAATTTCACTTAATCTATGCCTAAATATTGATTCATAATAACCTTTTTGCAGCTTCAGGTATAGTTTCGCCCTTTTCAACCTTTCCTCCCGAAACCATTCCAGCGACCTTCCCCAAATCCTCTCTTCTTCAAGCCCAGTAGAATCTGAGCCTCCTTCCTCACAAACACCAGTGTGAGGAGCTTGTTGGCTACCATGACTACCTGTAGAAACAGAGAGCCGATTCTCAATCACTGAATGTCAATTACAAAGAGGACTTTGGTTCCACTTTATTGTATAAGAATGATGCATAGAAAGTAGTGATGTTCACATCAGTGAATGTAGTTCATGACTGTTTGAAATCAGTACTGAAAAAACATCCATTTCAAACTAATTTAACAATGTGAGTGAGTGAGTGAGTGAGTTTAGTTTTACGCCGCACTCAGCAATATTCCAGCTATATGGTGGCGGTCTGTAAATAATTGAGTCTGGACCAGACAATCCAGTGATCAACAGCATGAGCATCGATCTGCACAATTGGGGACCGATGACATGTGTCAACCAAGTCAGCGAGCCTGACCACCCGATCCCGTTAGTCGCCTCTTACGACAAGCATAGTCGCCTTTTGTGACAAGCATGGGTTGCTGAAGACCTATTCTACCCCGGATCTTCTCGGGTAATTAAACAATGTGAATCAGGGTCACAACTCCTGAACTGTTTCCCTGCTTCAATGCAGTGAGGTATGCTCAAAGGGACAGTATGTTCACTATTCTGAAGCATTGCTTGGACACAATCACTGAAGGGACCCATGCATATTCAGCACTGCTCGCCTTATTCAACAAGAAATGTTTCTGACCACACCATGGGTGTTTGTTGTTTAACAATGCACTCAGAAATATTCCAGCTATACAATGGCAGTCAGTAAATAATCGAGTCTGGACCACACAATCCAGTGATTGACATCATGAGCATTGATCTATGCAGTTGGGGTGTGATGGCAAGTCAGCAAGCCTGGCCACCCGATCCTTTCAGTTGCCTCTTACAGCATATTTCATTGTTTTGCATAATCGAATTCACATACAACTCTGACAGTGAGGAATGGGTGAGTGAGTGTGTTTAGTTTTACGCCGCACTCAGCAATATTCCAGCTATATGGTGGCGGTCTGTAAATAATCGAGTCTGGACCAGACAATCCAGTGATCAACAGCATGAGCATCGATCTGCGCAACTGGGAACCGATAACACTTGTCAACCAAGCCAGCGAGCCTGACCACCCAATCCCGTTAGTCGCCTCTTGCGACAAGCATGGGTAACTGAAGATTCATTCTAACCCAGACCTTCACGGGTTGACAATGAGGAGCATGACAGTATAGCTTTAAGTATCAATTAAAGTTACCAAATCACAAAGTATCCATTGGACTTCAAAGACCTGGAGAATCAGTGCTCCAAAGGAAATACTTTTACATGCTTTAACAGATTTTCTCAGGGAAAGAAAAAACATTTCCTGGCATTTATTAATCTAAATGTGTAAACATGTCCACAATGAAAATTATGTGGCTATGTTTCTATGACAACAGTGAAAACAATAATTATTCAATTAATATATGACCAAAATGCAACAGGGAAACTTATAGAATTAAATATTCATCTTGTTCTTGTCAACCAAACTTAAAAGCCAACCAAAATAAACACAAATAAATAGTTGGAGAGTCTAGCATTATATCTATTCTACTTTTTATCGAAGGTTTAAAAAACACTAGGTAACCTATACAAACTAAGGAGAAATTTCACACAAACACATTCATTATTGAATTATAAATATAAACCATGGGGGATTTCTATTTAGCATGACGGAACAATGTTATTCAATATAAGAAAGGCAAATATTTTATCATACTATATCCAGATTTTCTAACATGAATTAATATGTATGTAAATAAGCATATTTGTTTTACTCATTCAAAGAGCCCCACGTTGGATGCTTGGATCAATGTTTATTTGTGTTCAGGTACGAATTTCTGAGATTATACAGAGGAAACAAACAAATCGTCACCAATGATGTCGTTCCCGACACAAGGGATGTCAATATATCACGGTGATCATACACTAACAACACTACTTGGTTGAATTTAAACATGAACAAGCACATGAATGCCAATAACGCCATAAATGGACGCTTCAACATCGGGTTAATGGTTATGACACTGCATACATAAATGGAATCTTACAGATAATACAATCTAGAGTACGGGAGTAACTTCGTATAATGCACAACGTGGTGTAACAACCGTGTTACAATGTAAATGTTTGTGTACGTGCTATTTCCCGCCAGCAACAACTTTATTATTTCTTTTATTAGAGAAGAACGTGTAGGTCGGATGCGAAGAAACCGGACGGGACCGGGATATATTAAGGTGAAGGGGTCGTTGTCGGCACGGGTACTACAGAAACGTACCCTGGCCATAATGAGAATACAGAAACGTACCCTAGGACGATTCCATTCCCATTGTGTCGTATTCTTGATCGGAACTGTCATGCTGTTAAATTAGATACATTTGATTGGTTTATGTAAGTAATGAGAATACACAGTAACGGATATTTCGCGATGCTTATGATACCAATCGCAATCAGTTGAACGGGAACAACTACATATGGTTTCGGTTTCGGATTGCGGAATATGGACTCGTCCACCTTTTAGGGTACCGGGTACGTTTCTGTATTTTGACTTTGTTTAGGGTACATATCTGTATACAGAAACGTACCTGGGGTATGTATCTGTAGTACCTGTGCCGACAACGACCCCTTCAGCTATATTAAGCTCGATCTGCTCTATAAAGTGATATTATAATAATATGATATTTTTTCTCACACTACCAGCATATAGTTAATGGACATAATGCCGGTATTCCTATGTTTAAATTACAGAAAAGGCGACAACGTAGTTTGTAATTTGTATCCATGGAATGTTTTGTGGCAGGCACCCTCCAGAATTCCAAAAGTGATGTTTCTGGTTTGTCAGCACCGACCTTCGTATTGGTGCTGTATGGATGAACCGGCGACATTACCTTTTTGAGAAGTGGAAGAACATCTGGTGTCAAAAATTTGTAAGAACAAAGTGAAAATTGGCATCTATGTGTATTTGTTAGAAATCTTAGCAGAGTGGTCACCCATACCAGAGACCATATTATACGGTCTCTGCCCATACAGATTCTTCCAACTTTTTGAGTAGCCGAGTTTCAAAGTAAAGAAGAATAAATTACATCATCATTGTCAGTTATCGTGTTTGCTAAAACTGGCTTCCGTAGTCGCTCTTTGAGGAAGAAAATGGAAACAACTAGTTTTTGGTAACTCGGAATGTAACTTCGTGTATATGGTCTCTGTGTATATTTACAGATAAATCAGTTTGTATTCTGGGGTTTTTTAACCGTGAGTCTGCATTCATTATGAATATTATTTCACAATTGAAAACGTTATGAATGTTTAAATTTCAGAGAGACTCATTAATTGACATGCTGAGTAGTTCCTTTTTCATACAAGAAATATAGTTTGTCCAGGTATTAAATAATAAGGGGCTCCAAACATTGCTTCTCAACTGCCCTGTACGGAGAATACAAAAACAGTCACGTGAGATTTCATGCGCATTATCGATTTCCGGTTATCGCAGGAAGTTGAATCAGGGATGCCTCTGCCGCTTCAGCAGGGAATTTTTCAGGTTAAAACACAATATTTAGCTTAGCTTTCGTTGTGAAATTTTGAAAACATAATTCAGAGAAACTTCCTCTACCACTTAGTTGATGTACTTGACGATCTGAACCTCTGACGATACCAATTCGAGAGCGGTGTTCGTCATCATGGCGGAAAGCATGTTGGAACAGTAGGCTGTGGCGACTGCCTCGTGAGGAAGGGATTTTCATTTCCTGATTAATCATACACAGCGTTGTCATTATCTCAACATGTTTACCATTTGTATGAAAGTACGTTTACTGATACATCACATGTGCTCGATATTGTCTGCAGACTTTAATTTGAGCGAGTGGCCATGTTTTCGTGTGTTTAGTCTGCTGTCAAAGTTGAGTTTCACTTTTAATATGAAAGTGCAGACTGTCAAGCTTGCTCGTGTTGTCAAGTTATCAACATTTATTTCACGCTTGTGATCATATTCACTTCTTTTGATAGCACCTGATATATGATATTCAGTACTGACATGTTTAAATTGAAAGGAACCAGGACCTTATTTTACATTTACTGGTGTTAATGTTAGAAGGTTTGAGAGATGTGAAAATCCCGGTTGGTAATAGTACTAGTCGTCAACAACCCATGCTTATGATTTGGTCAACCTTGACTGAAAATAGGAAGTAACTAACGCGACCAGGTGACGAGCTTGATGTATGTCATAATATCTCAAATGTATTATTTCATGCTCATGATGTCAATCACTGGGTTGTCTGGTTCATATGCATATATTTACATACCTCCATCATGTGGCTGGAGTATTGCAGAGTGCTTTTTGAAACAACAACTGATCGATTGTAAAAGGGATCATTAACAAATCTAAATTTCATGTTATGCATAATTAATCTTAGCATTTATGATTGAAGATTTACATTCCAAGCTGTAAGAAGTACCCACAATACTAGAGGCACCTTTTTAGACTCCCTCAAACTGCTTCTTTGTATACCTTCCACTTGGAAATATTACATCAATCCAAAATCAGTCATAAAGATGTCCAACTTAGCAGTTGGTAATAATATGTATAACATACTTAAATCTTTTGGAAGCTGTAAGAGGATTTATGATATTAATTCAACAATGCCTACAGGCTACATGGGAAGGTATTTCTTCAATACATTGTACCAATGATGTCAGACAATAAGCTAATTTATATCTAAAATTTTGTATCGTTTCTTAAGTAGAAGAAAACTCGCACATATGACGTTTTTGAAAAATGATGCACTTTCTGTAGAACTGACAGTGAAAGTAGTTTTCATTTAAAAATTGAAACTGTACTTGTGTTAAAGAAGTTTGGTAGAGCTTAGAAAAAATTCCAACCTTTAAGACTGCCAGCTTTTGTCCAAAGTTAAGTATAGCCGCGCATGTTGGATCTGTTTGTATCTACTTCCTGTGTAGACACCCTGCATCCCCAATACAACATGTTATTTATTTCTTAACTATGTTAACTAGGATGATCAGTATGCTTAACAAATGATTAGATTTGAATGTAATTGTTTAACTGTGAAACTCCATAATTTGTTTATTACCAAAAGTGTCATATTTCCCGCTTGTAACAATACAAATGACACTGTTGAATGCTTCGTATCGCCTTCAAACCTGAATTAATTATGTTATTCAGAAATATGTATTATCTTTTGTTAGTATTATTGCCTGGAATGCCAGTTGATGCACAGTTGTTGTTTTTTAACTGTATAGTTTTAGGAACTGATAAGTGTATGAGTCATTGCTCCTCATGACATACAGTGATTCTTTGAGAATGCTGTTTTTAAAGGGTCGTCTGTATGTCTTTGCATGTCAGTACTTAATATTAAGTTGAAACATAAGGGATATGACAAGGACCCTTTCACTTTCATGCTAATTTCCAACTGAATGAGGCCAAATATTGAAGTAGTATGTATCTTGCATATAGCAGGTTTGATTCAAGTGCTTCAAACACCATGACTTGACCATTTTGTTCGAAGACTCAAATGTATTGATGTTGATCAATCTGCCACATACATGCAATTACCCTTTTGCCTCACACTGTGTCAGCTGGATACAGGACACGATCAAGCGAAGATTTGGTTCTTAGACTTGTGGCTTTAGAGCCTGATTTCTGTTTAAACACATGTTAAACTGTCAAGCCTGGACCAATGAGAGAGAGTTTCAAAATCCAAAACGAATGATAAGAGTTATATTTGAAACTTCAACAATGATGTGAAAGTCATTGAATGAATAGGAAAGAATTATGTTATATTGTATGTTTGGCTGTGTTTACTCTTATGTTGCATTTGTCCTGCTACTATGTTTACTTTGCTGACTTTATCACTGCCATGTAGTCTGTCTAGGAAATGTGTTCTTGTATTTGACTATGTTTATATTTTAATGATAGCATGGAAAGGTGAACAGTAAACATTTCTGTCATGTCCATCATGATTATTTCTGATTAATGATAATGACGTAACTTACATGAAAATAAGCGTATAAACATGTTATTTGATATGTGCATCTTTATCAGATGTTAACAACTGTGAACAGCTTGATAAAATTATAATGTCTCTGTAAGAGGTTTATCAACATGATGAACAGTATAATCATCGTAATAATTGATTCTTCTAAGCTGACACATCACAGTATAATTATAATACCATATCAGGTTAAGATAAGAAATGGGGTCAGGTCAGTAGTATGTTTTGTTACTGTGGTTTCACATGTACAAGAGAATTGGATGTGGTAGGATGAACTCATATCAGCATAATCAATAGTATCAGGTAAAGTGCTGATATTTCAAAAGTTATGGAATTGTTTTGGGTGGTCATGAGTGCTAAATTGTTTGAGAAAAATGGAAAACAATGTTTTGACAGATTATATCATATTATTATCATGGTTATGATTTCCTTTGTGCTTGTTGTGGATACCTAGTTAAGAGCATCTGTGATAGATGTGTGCTTATGTGTTGTGTGTTTATAGCAGCCTGCAGTGGAGCCCATGCAGGTGGATGCTGCACCAGAGGAAAATGATAATGTTGAGGAGGAACAACATTACACTGTGGACAACCCCTCCGTGGTGAGTGACAGAAAACTAGATAGGAATGATAAGGACACATATATTTTTATTTTGTGGTTTACAGATTTTTCTACTGCTGGGGATTATGGGTTAGAATTGGTCCTCAGGAATCTCAGCGACCTCATTGATTGCATGTCGACAAACCTGATGATGTGGGTCGTTGCTCATTATATTGATCACTACTTTGTCTGGTCTGTTATTTACAGGCTACATCATACTGCTGGAATTTTGATGAGTGAGGCATAAAATAGTACACGCATCGGGCGCACAGACAGATTGACGTTTCTGCTAAGATAAAAAAAACAAGTTTGTGTAGCTGCTAAGTTTAGAATAGGCTCAGGGATATTATAAGTCATCATTTATCATCATTCGCTTTGTATACTATCCAAAATTGGCAGGAATGTCAACTTCAATGTTATTAGTTTTAGTTATGATTACCCTGATAGCATAGAGACAGTATTCCATGCAGGGTTTTGAACTACATCATCCAGGATATTCAGACCTATACTGACACCAGATATACAGCTTTAGAATATTGTACTTATCACCTGATTTCATATATCTAACAGTAACATATCTTTCTCAGGATTTAGAACAGTATGCCTCCCAGTACTCAGGGCTGGCCAAACTCAACAGGCTGATGTTCATATCAGACCACTGTCCATCACTTAAAGTCGAAGCTCTGCGCATGGCTCTTACCTATGTGATGACGACCTACAATACAAACCTGTATCAAGTTGTTCATAGGAAGCTGCAAGAAGCTGTGTCCACGTAAGCATTTGTTGATTTCTACAATATTTCTATAATACCAAATGACTTTGCATTATTGAGTTAATATTTTGCTTGAATATTTACTGTTACAAAATGTACAAAATACAGTCTGATGACACCATTGAGGTAATTATATATATATATAATGAAATACTTAGTAATGTTTAAGTTGTATAGAGAAATAGACGACTGTTGAGCAGTATCAAATTGTTGAACAGCAGATGATCATGATTATGTTTAACATAAAGTGAATATGTTTTTACCTATGCAACGGCATGAATAGTGAAATGTTAGAGGTGTTTTAAGTGAATGAAGTCATAGGGTCCTTCAGATTTGCATTTATAGTTTGTCTAGGGTCTCATCCTCTTAATCTTTAACTTGTTACAGAGTTAAGTCCCCTTGACTTTTCATGCTTAATTTTAATTAGTGGTATGGATATACAGTGATGCAGTGTTACTTAAACTGTCCTTCAGTTTGTGACATTTTTATGTTGAGTTCTGTGGTATTTGAATGTAGGGAATGTACAGAACCCATAAATTTTAAACTTTTAACATTAGGCATATCACAAAGACCCTTTGACTTTCATGCATATTTGCAAACACTGGGGAAGTTTTAACAGAAATAGAAAAAAATAATACATATCAGTGTGTCTAAGTTTTTGTTGTGTGAAAATGAAGATTCAGTGAGAGGGATGTTGAGATGTTCTTTGGTGTTGCAGGTCATCTACTCTACCTGATGCAGTAGCAGGGGCGGTGCACAATGTGCCTGCACTAGACACTCAGTGGATTGAAACCACAGCCAAAAAGGCTGCCCTCAAGCTTGAGAAACTGGACACTGACTTGAAGAACTACAAAAGTAATTCTATCAAAGAAAGTATACGGTATGTGCGATATTTGATTTTAATAGAGTTGCTAACCAAATACATGGTTCAGTTCCCAAAATGAGTATGAAGCCTATTGCTGGTGTCCCTCACAATGATATTGCAGAAATATTATCAATAACAGCATCAAACACAGACCATCTCATTGAAGTGTACATTTACCCTGATATGATATCTCTGTGCATTAAGATCTGTAACTACTAGTGGTGTTCCAATTAGTTGAAATAATCGAAGATTGGTCGAAGTGACCAAACGAACAAGCAATCGATCACATTTTCTCATAGTCGAACACAAACAAATTTTTAACTGCTGTTTTAGTCTTTGAAACTCTTGACGATGGAACATATCTTCAAAGTTGTCATGGCCTGAAAACTTGTTTAATTCTTAGAAAACTCACTTCACTAACTGAGAAGTCATGACTGAATATTTCTTGAAGACTCCAGGAAGTTTATGTTCATGACATATGAGTCATCACTTTAAAGTAGCAAGTTGCATCATGGTATACATATCTACAATAACAACCTGGATAGGAAAATCTGAAAAATGACGCTAACCAATTTTTTTTCGATGATTGTTTGTTGGTAATAAAGCAATCATCAATTGTGATTTCTTTTTCATAGAGGTCGTCCTTGGGGTACTTATATGCATTTTCTGCGGCTGAAAATGTCATGTGACAGTTGTATCAATGTTTTAATAAAAATATTGTACAATAAATAAAATCCTTTTGATCTATTATACTGCCCCCACCACGTGGAGTTACCTCCCTGCTACGCATACGCAGCCAACCAGGTAAGCACCTAGGCCCGTTTCATCATTCCTTCTGCTGTCACTCAAGCATTCACACGTATTTACAACCTGAGTTACAAACTGATTTACTTCATGTAGAAGAATGTCTGAGACTTCAACAACTGTATGTATGGTCTTTATTCGTTCTTGAACAAGAAAAAGAACAGTTTAATTGACTTTGCAGTCTGTTATTTCTCATTTCTGTGACTTTGTATTAAACCTTTATGCTAGCTTCCCCGTGGTTTACGCACGTGTTGCTATTCCATGGCAGGAAGCTAAGCGTGCCACGTGGTTGTCATATTGCGTTATTAACCAAGTATTTCATTTCCCGTGGTCGCCTGCACGTAATTTTAAATGTTTTGTACGTGTATATTTATGCTGCTGGTTCCGCTGTTAGCTACATGCTTGCATGTTTGCTTTCAGGCGTTTACTGGGTGTTCTGTCTGTGGGCAGAATATCCCTAGAGCCGACAAGCATCATAAATGCTTGTGCTGCTTAGAGAAGGTGGGACATAACCCTGATGTCTGTGAACTCTGTATGGCCTTTTCCCCCTGGGCCCAGAAGAGAAGGGCGGCAGATTTCCTTTTCTATAAGGAATTGCGAGAGGTGGAAGGGGAACTTACCCAGGAGGTCCCCCCGTCCAAAGCCAAAAAAGCCAAACAAGCTAAAGCTAGGTCTTCCCATAAGTCGCATTCCCAATCATCCCAATCTAGTGGTTTTGATATGTCACTAATCACTCAATTGTTTCAGCAGCATATCATGGACTCCGTGAATTCCCTTGTTCATGAGTCAGTTGGAGGTCTCCGCCAGGAGTTCCTCGTCTACTCTGAACAGGGGACCGAGAGTCCCTTTGGCTTAGGGTCCAGACGCCTCGGCTATCCCGGAGGGGGAAAGTTTGCTCCCAGGGACACCCCCCCCCCTTCTCTCTCCCCCCCTCTCTCTCTCTCTCAGTGCTGGTGCAGGGTCCGTTGAGGATTCCTGGGGTTCCGGTCCCTGCGCCACCCCACCCCATGAGAGCGGAGGAGTGGGTTCTGCCCGGTCTTCCTCCCGTGTCTCAGGACCGGGGTTCGAGTAGTGTGTCGGTTGCCGGAGTGGGGAGTTCCTTCGGCTCTTCCCTTCCCTCGGTGTCTGGGGCTTGGCCTCCCACCGGGTCAGGGTTCAGATCCTCTTCACGAGGAGACCTGAATTCTGACTCAGGCTCGGGTGCCGAGTCTATAGACATTGGGGAGTTCGAGGAGCCGGAGGGCACTTTCCATTTCTCGTCGGCTCTCCAGGGGGTTCGGCAGCGTATTGCCGACTATATACCCCAAGCCGCGGTACCCACATGTCACTCAGACTCAGCTGAGTTCCGCCTGCCAGGCGAGGCGTTTGCCCCTAGGCAACCCTCGCAGACACTGCTCCGTATCTTGCCTTCCCTGGTGCAGGACGTGATGGATTCTCTCCTGGTTGGGACACGCCTCTGGTTCGATTTCCCCAACCTGTAGGAGGTACCAGCTGGGGGACGATTCTCTGTTCTTTTGTGCCGGTGGTTGACGAGTGCGTGTTCACTTCGATCGCCCTCGGGGGAGGCTCGGCTTTCTCAGGTGCAGCCCCGACTGCCAAGCAAGGGTGTTTAGTTCCACCGTTTGCCCTAGCGGGTGCCCCCCTGCAACAGGCATACCAGACTTATGAGGAAGTCTACCAGAATGCCATGCAGCAGGTGCGGATGGTGATCCATGAGGCCTACATTTCCTCTATTCAAAGGTCGGCTCTGGAGGTGGAAGGGTGCCAATTGTCCGAAGTGCAGGCCCACCTGGCGCTAGACTCTTTGCGGTCCGCTGCGTCATGGGGATGCGCAAGCTGTGGCTGTCTACGTCCCGTTACTCAGCAGCAACCCATCAGACCTTGCTGGCCCTTCCGTTCCGGCTGGGAGCGACGTTTCTGGGGGCACAGCAGGTCATTCGGGAGGCTGCTGCAGCAGCTACCTCCTTCAAGGACTTCGAAGGCCTTGTTGGAGCAACCGCGGGCTTCTCGCTCCCGTAGCGGGTTCCTCCTCCGGGGCGCAGCCTATGCCCAAGTCTGTCGGCCGACTTTGGCTGCTGGGCAGGGGTAGGAGGAGGAGCCGTCCCGCCAAAGGTAAGGGCAAGGGGCAGTCCTCTTCGTCTGGCTCCCATCAGCCTTTTCGCGGTCGTGGTGGGTCTGCCCCGACCTCCCTTTAAACCTGCAGGCTGTCGCCGTGGGTCCGTCACAGTCAGTTCGTCTGCAAGGGACCACTCACGCCCTCTGACCACACGTCCCAGTGGGGGGGCCGCCTCTCTCTATTCCTGCCGGAGTGGGAGAAGGCTACCAGCAACACTTGGTTGCTATCCACGTTAGTGTCGGCCATCTCCCGCTGTGGAAGCGAGGCCTGCCAGAGTTCACAGGCATACATCGCACTCCGGTGCCGTCATGTCTGGTCAGGGCGGGTATACTGCAAGTCGAAGTTCAGGCTTTGCTGGACAAGTCCGCAATAGAGCACATACCACCGGGCGAGGAACAGGCGGGATTTTATTCCACGTACTTCCTCGTTCCGAAGAAGGATGGCGGGTTCCGTCCCATTCTCAACCTCAAGGGGTTGAATCACATGCTAGAGGTTCCACCCTTCAAGATGGAGACACTTCGCTCGGTGATCTCCTCTGTTCAGCCTGGCAATTCGCTTACATTGATCGACCTAAAGGATGTGTATCTACATGTGCCAATTCATCCATCGTTCAAGCAGTACCTCCGGTTCTCTTAGAACGGGATGGGTTACCAATTCACGGTGCTCCTCTTCGGCATATCCACTGCCCCCAAGGTGTTCACCAAGCTCATGTTAGTGCCAGCTACCCTCGCAAGGTCGCAAGGAAGGCTTGTTACCTATACCTCAACGACTGGTTGCTCAGTGCTCTAACTCAGCCAGCGAGCCTAGTACTACCCACATGGTGATAGACATTCTAGTTCGACTGGGGTGATCATAAACCTCAAGAAATCCGACCTGGTACCCACCCAGGACTTGGTTTTTCTCGGGGTGCGGTTCACAACTCACAAGGGTCTTGTCTCCTTGTCGCCCGACCGGGTCACCAGAGTACGGGAGATGGTGTCTTCGTTCCTCTCCCAGCCCCAGGCACCAGCGCGGACTTGGCTCCGTCTACTGGGTCATATGGCGGCAACTATCTCTGTAGTGTGGCGGGCGCGGTTGAGGATGCGCCCTATACAGCAAGCTTTGGCGAGTCTGTTGGCTCCCTCGGAGGATCTGTGCAGTCTGTCGGTGTCCGGACTCTGGTCTGAAGCCGAAGCCCGCCTTCACATCAAGGTCTTGGAACTGAGAGCTGTGCGGTTGGTTTTCGGGCGCTTCCGGGAGCATGTTCAGGGCCAGGTGGTTCGCCTTCAGTTGGACAACTGTACGGTCATGACTTACATCCTGAATCAAGGCGGCACGGTGTCCCTAGCGCTCCTTCGGGAGACGTGGGAATTTCCCTTCTGGTGCAACAAGTGCGGCTGTCAGGTGCTTCCTGTTTATCTCCCGGGGCTGGAGAACGTGCGAGCAGACGCTCTCTCTCGCCAGATCCTGGCCCCACACGAGTGGATGCTCGACCGGCAGATATTCGGAGTTATCTCCCAGTTTTACGGATCGTTCCAGGTGGATCTGTTTGCGTCTCGGCTACTTGTGCTACTGGCACCGCTATAGCCGTCAGAGAGCTGGTTTCCGGTAATTCTCAGGTTTCTGGCTCAGCCTCCTGTTCTATTGACATTCTCACTCAGAACGTCGCCATACCCCAATCCAAGGATTCAGTGGGTGGCTTGGCCTCTGTCAGGTCTAGCCTCGAAGCACGCTGAATTCCTGCAGCAGTTGCAGACACAATTCTGGCTTCGAGGCGGGATTCGACAAACGTTCAATATGAGGATAGGTGGTCCCGCTATGCGCGCTGGTGTTCAGGTAAGGGGATTGCAGATCCCTTTTCTGCGGATTTAGTCCGAGTATTGGAGTTTTTGCAAGGTAGTTTGGAAGAAGGCTTGGCAGCTTCGACCATTCATGGCTACTCCACCGCTATTTCCACTTTTCACAACCCTGTCGATGGTGCTCTTCTGGGGCAGCACCCTCTGCAACAGCGCCTTATAGCTGGCGTGGATCGGGTTCGACCTGCTGTCAGGCGAACCAGCCCACCTTGGGATTTGTTAATCGTGCTAGATTGGCTGTCCAGTCCTACGTTCTCACGTCTATCAGCTATTTCCATTCAGTTGTTAACATGGAAGGCCGTATTTCTGGTGGCGGTAACATCTGGGCGTAGGGTCGGCGACTTACATGCTATGTCGGCAGACCCGGCGCTGACTGTGTTCCATCCAGATCGTGTCAGTATTCGCCTCCTGGATACTTACCGTCCGAAGATCGATCACACTTTCCATGTGACAGCTCCTGTCGAATTTCCTACTCTTACCCAGACTTCCACATCGGGGACCTCTGCAACGAGTACTCACCCGTTGGATGTCTGAAAGACTCTCAAGGTCTATATCAAACGAACACAAGGGATCCGTATGGGTACCCATCTGTTCTGCTGTTATGGTGGCAGGAAGGCTGGGATGCCGGCGAGCAAACAGACCCTATCTCGCTGGCTTGTATCGGTCATTTGTGCTGCTTATCAGGCTAAGGGCAAGCCTCCCCCTGAGTGGTTGAAGGCTTACTCGGTCAGGGCAGTGGCCACGTCAAAGGCTTTTTGCATCGGCACTACCCATTGAAGAGATATGCTCTGCCGCTATTTGGAGCAGGCCTAGCACTTTCATCAGGCACTATCAGCTCGATACACATTCACGTGATCGTGCACGTTTTGGCCGTTCTGTTCTCTCCAGTGGACAGTGTCCTGCCACCCTGACCGAGTGAGTCTTGGTTATCTGGTTAGTTGACGCTGCTTTCACTTGTGTATTATTGATATATCCGCTGTTGTGTTACCTAACTCCATTCGATTCTCTCCGGAGATTATGGTCGGTTGAGAGTTGGTTTTTCCCCCTTACGGTGCTCTCTAATAGATCATGATGTGGGCGGGGATTTTACTTTCGCACTGTGTGCGAATTGCTGTGCTTAACCTGTGAGGTTGGATCTAAGTACTTATCCTCCCTGTCGGTTACCCTCCCATCATGCCTCTCGCGGAAGCTTCGGGACATGAGACAGGTGAGTGTTGTGGCGTCTGTTACATTCTTCCTAACGATCGCTATTTATGTGTACTTTGACAGAATTCCCTCCTCCCTGGCCTCCTGTCTTTGAGAGTCTGAGTTAATGCATATATGTACCCCAAGGACAATCTCTATGAAAAAGAATTAGCTAAACCTGTAGAGATTTCCAATTCTTTGAAGAGAGTCGTCCTTGGGGTAGGGCACCCACCTCCCCGCAATTCTGTTCACTGATTTATTCAGCAGAAGGAATGATGATATGGGCCTAGGTGCTTACCTGGTTGGCTGCGCATACGTAGCAGGGAGGTAACTCCTCGTGGTGGGGGCTGTATAATAGATCAAAAAGATTGTATTTATTGTACAATATTTTTATTAAAACATTGATACAACTGTCACATGACATTTTCAGCCGCAGAAAATGCATATATGTACCCCAAGGACGACTCTCTTCAAAGAATTGGAAACCTCTACAGGTTTAGCTAAATTTCAACCAATTCCCAACACTAGTAACCATCCATGTGAATTCCTGAGCCTTCAGATATCATTCTTCAAAACCTATTTGCTAAAGTTCTTAACAGCTGGTTCCAAAAATGTTGATTTAACTAAAGGAAACCTGTGCAGGAATAGAACTTCTCCTTCTTAGCTTAGTAGTAGCAGCAAAATAATATCCACAGCAATATGTTGACATTGTTTTCTTTGTATGCATTTGAGGAGGTCCTTATCAGAAAAGCTGGTTTGAGCGCATTTCTCACTGATACCATGTATTTAGAGGCCTAAAAGTCAAAGAGCTGAATTGTTGATCAGTGCGTTTTCCTGATGCAACCTTGTGTGGAAGTGTCCCCACTTCTTCACATGAAGAGGAACCTGTGAAGATCTGGATTATAATTGCTCTTCAGTAACCCATGCTTGGTCGTAAGAGACAACTAACGGGATCGGGTGGTCAGGCTCGCTGACTTGGTTGACACATTGTACCCCAATTGCTTAGATCGATGCTCATGCTGTTGATCACTGGATTGTCTGGTCCAGACTCGATTATTTACAGACCACCATCGTATAAGTTATAACTGGAATATTGCTGAGTGCGGCGTACAACTAAACTCACTCACTCACAAATCATAATGTTCAACCCTCTCCCAGTATTCTAGAAAAAGTAAATTCACGAGTATTGTGTTAAACAACAACCAAACTAAAACCAAATCACATGAAGAGGTATCCTACTGGAGTGAAAGATCTGAATAAATGATACTGCTGGCTTTGTCTGAAAGAATGTTATGATCCAGGGTTATCATGCATTGTTTACAAATATTTACAACCAACTCTGATGTCTTGTGTGCATGTGTACGTATCAAATTTGTATTTATTTTATTATTTTCTTTTTTTATTGATTTGCATATTCACGATTAGGAAAAGCTGGGTATTGAGTATAGTGAAAATTTCTTTCTGTTTCAGGCGGGGGTCACGATGACCTGGGAGATCACTATCTAGACTGTGGTGACTTAAGCAATGCATTGAAATGCTATTCAAGGGCAAGAGACTACTGTACAAATCCAAAACATGTTGTAAACATGTGTTTAAATGTTATAAAGGTAATATTGTCAGAAACAGTTCGATTTTATTATGCAAAAATGTTCATGACAGTTCCCAAATAACTAAGTTAATAAAGGCTTATAAAACTGATATCTCTTTTATCAGTTAGGTAAATTTATGATTTGATGCCATGAAAATTAGAGATGTTTGAAACATCGAGGAGCAGAAATAATTACTCTCCTCATATTTTCCATAGTGGATTAATCCAAACGGCTTTCCATCAAAGTTCTAATGAAAAACTAAGCCATCAATTTGTAACATCAGCAATAGCTCAGCTATATAGTTTAAACAAGTAGACAGGTGTCATGATCTGTCATGTTTTATGATAATAACAAAAGTGAATTTGTTAAAAATTTACTATTTTGATGTCCGATTGGCTAGGTGAATGTGCTGTTTCTGTTCTGCTTGTAGGTTAGTGTGTACCTACAGAACTGGTCTCACGTGCAGAGTTACGTGAACAAAGCTGAAGCAACACCCGAAGCCACAGAGGTAATTAATGCTGAATTGTTCTACCTTCTTCAAAAGCTGAATATCCATAGCTTAATTTATTCCTGCTCATCGCCTTGGAGATTTCTACATATCCTTCATAAAATGTGTTACACATGATCATTGATGAGGGTAGTTTTCCTTCATGTGACAATGTTTGTTTGTTTGTTGGAAAATATTAGCTTGAGGAGAACAGAGGTAAATTATTGAATAAATCTTTCCCTCATCAAATGGTTCAAATGACGGATAATTTTCAAGGTTGTTCCTCGTGCTGTTATAGTATTGAGATCAGTCAGATGTGTTACCATGATTATGACATCTGTTTTCAGCATGTAAAAGATGGGCAGTTGATCCAGACAAAGTTGAGATGTGCAGCAGGGTTGGCAGATCTCGCTACTAAAAAATACAAATCAGCAGCCAAATACTTTCTTCAAGCTAGCTTTGATCACTGTGATTTTCCAGAGGTAGGGAGCTGTTTTTTTACAGTGTGAACACATTACATTGTGATTACATTGGGGGCGGTGGGGTAGCCTAGTGGTGAAAGCGTTGGCTCGTCACGCCGAAGACCCGGGTTCGAATCCCCACATGGGCACAATGTGTGACACCCATTTCTGGTGTCCCCCGAAGTGATGTTGCTGGAATATTGCTAAAAGCAGCGTAAAACCAAACTCAGTCAGTCAGTGATTACATTGTTAGTGCTTGAATCTTGTTAATAAACTCAGACCAAATAAATGTAAATAAACCATTGTTAATGAAAGTTAAGTAGAGTCTTTAGTAAGGCTTAACGATTCACTCGCATATTCGGTGAATCGAAACCGTAGCCCTTCATGAATTCAATTCGTTATTCGTGGTCACCAGAACCGAATATTAACGAATATTTACGATTTTTTTAAGGGAGCGTGTTTTACTTGAACCCCTGTGTACATTTGGAAAGTGAGATATGCAAGGATTGAATATGTACTAGCATTGCAGTAGCGTAAGTCACATTAGTTTGCCAAGGCTGCACATGGTACTGTCAGCTTTTAGTATTACATACCAAATTGGAGTGTCATGAAATCACTGGTTATCGCTGTGACAAATCAAAACTGTCAACATGGGCGTGCATATTGTGCATCAATCACTTAACTACAATATTGTATTCGTGAATAATTATTCGTATTCGTTACCCAATGTTCATGATACGTATCATATTCGCCACATAGTGTATTCGTTGCAGCCCAGTCTTTAGTAGGTTGTGAAGTCACATAAATTCAGCTGAATGTGGTGTGGTGTTTCAGCTTTTGTCCGCCGGCAATGTAGCTACATATGGTGCCCTATGTGCCCTAGCTTCATTTGACAGACAAGAGTTACAGAGAAACGTCCTTTCTAGCAGGTGTGTAGCCATTTCTTAATTAGATGTTATTACTTGTTATTTTTTCATCATATGTTAATCCACAACTGCTATATTCATTATTAGCATTCAAACTCCCATGTATATTTGATATATTCACTTGTGTTTGAATCGAGTTTTTTCTTTGAATTTATGCCCTTATTGTTTACTGTGTGTGAACTGATTGGCTATATCACACCTGTTCTACATTCAGATCACAACCGTTGATGCCTCATGCTGTTGATCACTGGACTGTCTGGTCCAGACTCAATTATTTACAGACCGTCGCCATATAGCTGGAATATTGTTGAGTGTGGCGTAAAACTAAATTCTCTCACTCACTCATTGAAATGAACCTTAGTTGTCAGAGGATGGATACATAGGTCAATGTCATCAATACCAAACTTTCACCTGTTAAGGAATATATTCTGATATATTCTAGTATTTCTATAATTGCAGTAAAATTGTTTTAAGTAATGTTTAAAGGCACAATGTCACACCACATTTCTCTAAAAAGACATGATGCATTTCTCTCAATAATACTAAATATTAGTCCTCAGGGAAGCTACCATATAATTTATTCCAAAAAATATTTTGTATTTAGATTACAATATTAAATTAAAATGTTCGAACGAATTAATACAATGTTGCATTAAATCGACTCACTTGCCCTATATCAGCCGAACATTATTTCAAGTGAGTCCCATAGAGTTATGTCCCTTGGTGCTGTCTTTACGAATATCCTATAACCCAACTTGTGATTGAGATCAGTTTAGCAAACACTGACAACACCGAGTGCGACAGTTTTCGATATACTGAGCAATCGTTTACATTCCATATATGGCAAGTATTATCTGTTTGGAAGCTGTTTGCCTCGATGTTTCAATTATCGATTTCAAGCAAGTTGTAAGGGATAATAAGTCTTTTACTGCACCAATAGGAAGATGAAGTGAGTGCATATGCCCCAATTATATAAAATATAGGCCAAGATATTGTCGAAAAGATGTGATATTGTGCCTTCAAGTACTATTTGATAAATCATCACTTGATCTGAGAGAAAATGTGTCTCCAACTGATTTTTAGCATTGTTTACAAGATGAAAATATATGTTACAATATCAGAATGCTGTCAGTTCATATCATATGTTCTTGGGTATAGGGCACATCAAATCATAATGTTCAACCCTCTTCCAGTATTCTAGAAAAAGTAAATGTGACGTAAACACAGCATAAATCGACATGCTTGAGGTGCAATCATGGCATGAAAATTTGAAATATATAAATATGTGACAAAACATGATGACACATTATGATTTACCAATTCAGTCATGTTTCTTGTTGTACTAGACATGGGTTTATATGAAGATATATCATATGTATTGTGATATTTTTGCTTTTGGCCTTCTGCATTTGTAATTATTGATGTGGCTGACTGAAATGTTGGGAAATGTTTTCTTCCAGTTCTTTCAAACAGTTCTTGGAGCTGGAACCACAGCTCCGGGATATTATACACAAATTTTATGAATCCAAGTACGCCTCCTGTTTAAAGTTATTGGATGAAATCAAGGTCAGTAGAGCTTTTGATTAAGCAGCCCCTACCAGAGGGTTTGTTTGAATTTGGGCTCATATGACATTATTTTGACTAAGCCTTGCGGTTACGGAGAAAGTGTTGGAGACTACATACTTGACCTTCCTATATATACCTGAGGAATGTTTCTGAGGTGTTTTGGGGCCGTGGGGTAGCTTTATGGTTAAAGCGGTTGCTCGTCACGCTGAAGACCTGGGTTCAATTCCCCACATGGGTGTAATGTGTGAAGCCCATTTCTGGTGTCCCCCGCCGTGATATTGCTGGAATATTTGCTAAAAGCGGCGTAAAACCTTATTCACACACTCTCTGAGGTGTTTACACCAAAATTGTTCAGTTTATGTGTTGAGGTAGTAAACAGATTTAATGTGAAAAGTCCTTTTCATTCAACTTGATTAGTAAAATATTGATAAAGTAGGAATGAAAAATGTTCTTCAGCATGTTCAAATATTGCAGATCTCCTGGTCACGTTGTTTCTTTACAGGATAACTTGTTGTTAGACATGTACCTGGCCCAGCATGTGACAACACTGTACACGTAAATAAGGAACAGAGCACTTTGCCAAGTAGGTTGCTTCACTTTTATTTACCCTCCTAGGATTTTCTCTGTGGAAGGGTAACGAGGTGGCTATGGCAATTGCTTGTACATCAAATGCCTTATTAGATTCCAAGTTTGGAAACATATTTGTTACTAGGGTATCTCTAAAAGGGAAGAAAATCCATCATACTGCTTGGTATTTCATCCTGGTGGATCAGGGTGGTGGGGTAGCCTTATGGTTAAAGCATTTGCTCATCACCCTGAAGGCCCAGGTTCAATTCCCCACATGGGCACAATGTGTGAAGCCCATTTCTGGCGTCCGCCATTGCTGGAAAACTGCAAAAAGCGACATATAACTAAAATCACTCTCTTCTGGTGGGTCACACGGAGTAAAGAGTTTTTAAGTTCTGTAACCTGTGCTTATGCAACCTCAGGTTACAGAACTTAACAACTCTTTACTCCGTGTGATCCACCAGAAGAGAGTGATTTTAGTGATAAGTCGCTTTTTGCAGTTTTCCAGCAATTTGGCGGAAGGACTTGGTCTCAATTATGCCTTGTTTGTTATAAGAGATAATAACATAAGGTGTATTGCTGGCATGCCATTGTAATGGTGTTGTTGCGCTCGCAGCCAACATCTGGTTGAACCGACTCTTGATTCTTTATACCTTGATATTATATTGCTACCTGGTTGCTCCAAGAAGGTTCTTGGATTGATAAAATAGAACTAAGATTGATAGTTGGTAGTCCCAATAGCTGTTGAGTATGTATAGCTACTGGAGTAATCGCAGGAATAGAACTCTCCAGATGCATTTACTAGTCATAGTCCTAATATCTAAGGATGCTAGTTTAAAAAGGGAAATTGTACTAGTCTGGAGGTTTAATCTATAGTTGATAGAGAACATTCTTTCCTTACTTGTAGTACTTCAGTCCTTACCTGTCTGCGGACATGATGAAAATGGCTGAAGCTTTCAATACGACCGTCCCTGCCTTGGAGGATGAGCTGATGCAACTGATTTTAGACGGGCAGATCAACGCTCGCATAGATTCTCACAATAAGGTACTTTAAGTAGTTTAAGATTCGTTCGACCACAAGGTGTGGCACTATAACTGTCTTGGGTCCATGTTCAGTGAAGTGTGGTGGATCCGTTGAAGTCAAGGCGATTACTGTGCGAAACAGTGTACTAGACTTAGTTTCTGCAGTTTTCTCTGCATTCTTGATGCCAGTGTGTGTTCGCTTCAGTATTTTTGTGTTATGTTCATAATAGTGGAGCACACCATTCATTATTGTATCGCTGAAACTGGTTGAGCCATGTTTTGCCATGTTTTGATTAATATAAACTGTCAGTATCAATTTGTCCTCTTTGAATATCACAAGTTAAGTTCAACGCCATTTCCTTTTCCCAGCTAAAAAAGAGACTGTCATTAAATGTGTACTTCAGTACATCATGTGTCAATACTGTACTTCCTTCCAGATCTTGTATGCCCAAGATGTAGACCAGCGGGCCACAACCTTCCAGAAGGCGATAACTATGGGGAAAGAGTACCAAAGACGGACAAAGGTCAGTCAGATTGGCTTATATGTTATGTTTTGTTTGTTTTATTTAATGCCATAATTTCTGGTGTGCCCCGCCGTGATATTGTTGGAATATTGATAAAACAACATAAAACTAAACTCACTCACTCATTTAATGCCAACAGTGTGCAAAATTAACGCTGGTCCTGTGGTCCATGGCTAATAAAAATTCACCAGGACCTCTAAATGATACGTTTGCACTTGTCCTGGTGGCCAGTGAATTTTGTATTGATAGTTAAGTAAATCTACGAATGTTATTTTGGACAAGTGAAGTACAGACAGGACCACTAATTATTGTCCACTCACTGGTCCTGTGGTCTAGGTGGAAATTTTAAAAGGTTTCTTTCCCTGTGCCAAGCTATTGATTTAATTGATGATGAAAGAGGTAAACACATACAGATGAAACATTGTAATATGATTGTTTTTCTTATTTTTTCAGGCCTTGATACTTCGATCTGCAGTGTTAAAAAATCAGATTCATGTCAAGGTGAGACCGATTCCTTGCTGTTGATTATCTCTTGTTAGTTGGGTGTGATGGAACAGACTGTTTCTGTTTTGTAAAATTCTGTTATGTCAATCTTTCTCTCACCATTGAAAGTGAAAACAACAAGATTGATATTTACATGATGTACATGCCTTGAAATAAATATATAGTATATTTGGATTCTTTTTGTGTCATCCCATTGCTATTTGAAAAGCCTCTGTAGCCATATACCAAATTTTTCATCAGTAAGTTTTGTACACCATTTTAGTCATTTGTGCTTTACTTAACTGGTGGTGTACAATACAACACTAACACTAAGGTGTTTGTAACTCCAATACCTGAACCTGTTAAGATCCGGGTTAGAATTGATCTTCAATAACCCATGGTTGTCAAAAGAGGCACCTAATGGGATCGGCTGGTCAGGGTCGCTGACTTGGTTGACACATGTCATCTTATCCCAACTGCCTAGATCAATACTGATGATGTTGATCACTGGATTGTGTGGTCCAGACTCAATTATTTACAGACTGCTGCCATATAGCTAAAATTTGGCTGAGTGGCGTAAAACTACTCACTCACCCATACGTGAACATGACTTTCCGACAATCCTAGTGTTACGGTTGTTTTGTACAATGGCATCCAGAACCTAGGAGGAAAGGAGCAGATACGTTCCTGGATACTTTAGTTCAAGGCAACCATATCGTTATGGCTGCCGTAAGTCTGTGTTAGAGTATGAACAGAATTTTCTGGGATATTAAACTATATTTTGCTTAAAAAATATGATCAGTTAAATATATCAGGGATGTGAAAAACCCAAATACGCATGTGTTCCGATATGCCATAGTCACAAAAATGTTCCCCAACAGTATGACAGTTTGGGTTTGAATCCAGGTTGTCTGTCATCAAAGAGGTTAATATCCATCATTTTGTATCAGTCAGAAGTTTCTTCCATTGTTAGACTGACACACCTTAACGACAGAACCCCAAACATTAGTACTGTTCTTCTGTAAAGATACTGGAGCGATAATGTTGAAAGTCATGTATGACCATACTCACTCACTCCCATCAAGAAATAATATTACCCAAGGGTAGATTGAGTATGAAACAACTTTCCTATATTTGTACATGTGCAGTTTTGTGATTCTCAATGCTGATTGGTCAGTTGAAGCCATATGACATAACAGTGCTTCAATGTAAAGGAAATGTATGACATCATCCATTGTTAATGATATAACAAAGTGATTACATCAGCTGAATTTCAGTGAAGTTTCTCAATGGGGTTCACCTGTTTTTTAGGTTTCTCTGTTTGAAATGTTCATGAGAATGTATATAAATAACATACTTGAACTGGGAATTATGTATTATCTGTGCCATGTAATGAATGTTGCAAGTCCCCCAAAGGCAGAGGATACCATTGATTCTCTAGTGGCAGATTATCCATAATTCCTCATATCTTGTTGGTTAATTAAATTACTTTCTCTGTTATTTAAACATCTGTTGATGTTTGTTTATTTGGCAATGTCAATACCTGTTGAAGACCTTAAGAATAAATCATTTAACCCCTAGTGTGTTTATGCTTACATTTTCTGATGTTTGTTATGTTTTCTGATATGTTGAACATTGTTTGAATGTGCTCAAATTAATTCTGCTGACTTATTTTAAGGGATGAAAATGATTCCTCCCTTCTATTGTTCAGAGTCCACCTCGGGACGGGGGTACAGGAGGTGAGATGTCCATCGCACCAGGCAATGCGTCATCAGCAAGGAACTGAGGCAGGATTTAAACTTTGAAGAACTCGTAATTCTTCTGTTTTGTCCCAGCATTCTGCTGGACATGTGCAGATTTGATCCACCACGAGTTGTCATCATCACCAGCAGCAGTAGCAGCAGCATCTGCTGCATGCTGCGTCTCTTGCGTGCACAGCGGCGTACCATACCGCAGCTCTGCTTGGTCATAAACTGTGATACCCAGTGAAACACTGTGTTCTGAGCCTCTACCAGACGCAGTCATAGACACATTCTGTGGGAGTGGTACAGAAATCACAGAAATATCCATAGCGTTTTGTTGTGGATTACTTATATACCTTAAAACTATATATGCAAAGCTGATGATACGGAATGATGTCAAAGTGCTCAAGTCTAAGAACTTTTAATCTAGTGCTACTGACATTTAGAGACTTCTTCAGTTTCACTACCCAAGACTTATCTGAATTTGTTCGACTTACATCTGCAATAGATATCTTATGGTGTTATTTTGAGAGAACTGTACGTACCCATGTTTCTTATATGGTATCTGATAAAGCAACGAGGTTTTTGAAAATGCTATTGTTGGCTTGATTGTTACGTTTTGCCGGTTGTTACTGTCATGCCATACCCAGTTATCTCCCCTTGCTGTGCCATGTATCCCACCAGGGACAAATGTGTGATATACAGTTTCACAAATAACTGACAAATCATTTAAAAATAGCATGGGATATGGTTTATGTAAATTCCAGTTCATTCATTTTGATTTACAAGAAATGCAAAACATGTCCTCAAAATGTTTTCATTATATATCTTTGGCTCTTAATCTGTTTAAAGTATTCAAGAGATATATGCGTATCCTCTGTTATAGAGTAAACATTCCTTTGTGACAGAAACTTTTAGATTTGACATAGTCTCAGCTAGAATATTGTATTATCCGCTTATTGATCAATATAACTGGGACATATTTTTAAAAGCTATTAGCCAAAAATATTTTCATAATTGATTGACATTTTGGACAAGTTCCGTTTGTGTTAGATGCTGTTAAAATGTTGATTACACTGTAGATGCAAAATTATTTTCAGCAGATAAATGTGAAATATGTCATTATTTTACCTTTAAGATATCTAACTTTGACATATCATTGAATTAGAATATTTGCTAGATTACCTTAGAGATGATCGTCAGATCTTGTCAAAATTACCAACTGAAATTTTGAGGTTTGAGTATGTGGTATCCAGAGAACAGGTATTTGTAGACAGGCGCAGAATGGATAAAATCTGTCACATTCTCATGTCGAACAACAGTGAAGCTACCATCTTGATGGAACAGTTTGTGTATATGCTGTGAATTGACAATATTTTTCAGCAATATTGTTCTGTGCATGAGTTTATCTTCAAGCGGTATTGTCTACACTCTGCTTTGTATGAAATAATATAGTAACACTACATATACAAATATAGCTCACCAGATTGTCATTGTGACTCTAAACAAGGAATGGGAAGCCTGTTTTCAGCTTATGGATAATGTATATTTTAATGGATTTCTTATGAATTTGAACAGTTGTGCCTGGCACAGAATGGTCGAGGGGTTTGAAACACTGTTATTCTCTACCAGTATATATAAATACAACGTGTACTTAATCAGTGTTTTATTTTTAATACGGTAACCGTGGTAACAGTGCTTCAAACTCTTAAGCACAATGGTATTTAAAGTGGTTCTTGTTTATTGTATTTTGAGAGTTAAGAGTCACAGGTTTTCTTGATTTCAATATGTATCATGTCCAGTTACTGCGATGATTGAACTTTCAGGTTTTAATGCAAGTTGTATCAAATTAAGTTAACCTTGAATTGTTAGGAATGGCTATCAATACTCATATTACTCTGTATAATGTTTAACTGTTGCCATATTTGTTGCATTTGTAAATTTTCTTCCAGTTCCTGAATTGACAACACTACTGTGGCTCTTATATGGTAATAGGCCTTTTACTGAAATATTTTATCACTCTTGCGTTAATGTGAATACTACTACTTGCCTACAGATTTTTCACTAGAAATTTCATTGTATTAAAATATTTAAATAAAGAGTGACCTTGATGTACATGATGAAAATGTTAATTTGAAGATGATGTTTTGATATGAAATGTAGCTGTGGGAAATACACAGTTGATGCACAGTCATATGTTTGTTGTTATTGTTCTTTATCCTCTCCAGATGGGGTAGCCTAGTGGCTAAAGCGTTGGCTCGCTCACGCCGCAGATCCGGGTTCGAATCCCCACATGGGTACAATGTGTGAAGCCCATTTCTGGTGTCCCCCGCCGTGATGTTGCTGGAATATTGCTAAAAGCGGCGTAAAACCAAAATCAGTCAGTCAGTCAGTCAGTCATCCTCTCCAGAAGTGGTGGCTAAACTGGTCTTTGGAATCGGAGTGAGTGAGTGAGTGAGTGACATTAATGTGGTTCATCATTGCTAAAACCTCTGACCTGCAAGGCCAGACACTTATTGTGCACAGTTGGAAACATTGCTGAAGCAACTTATAATTTTCATTAGCTCAGTATGCTTTACTAGCTGCCTTCATTTACCGATCAAAATAAACCGTGAATATTTAGGGGCATGTTTTCTTTGTGAAGACTGAGCACACTGCCCAAAATATTTGTTCAGTGTAGAACCTGAAAATAACTGATGCAGAAAACAATACTCAAGTGAGTGGGCTTTGGGCAGGGCTAGTGGTGACAGACCTCTGTCTTCGTAAAGCATTGCGTCATCTAGGATTATGTCCTTGGGCTGTCAAAATCCTGTATATGATCATAAAGTTTAACTTAAGTGGACATTATTTTTTAGCATTATCCAAGACTTGCTTTCTTCACTTAACAAGCTGACATGTTAAGCATGAATATACCGACTGAACGAAACTTGCCTCACGGACTACACAAAAGCATGACTTGGCAAGTGGTGCATGTGCAATATGATGCTATTTGGACTTGCTTGAGCCGTGAGATTCGGTTTAATATATTGTCACAATAGGATGTACAGTAGAACAATATTTTACTTTGATAGCTCCTCCAGGCAGGATGTAGATCATACAAAATGTTTCATAGTTTGTCCCAATGTTATGCACCATTGCATACCATACAGTAGAGCTAAACTAAAGATAAGTCAGATCACAAGACTTGTGAGATGTCAATGTTTCACATAGGGGCCGTAAGCAGGTCATTACACTTTGCAAAACCTGACATTGTTTAGTATTTCCAGTGACAAACAAGGTTTCATACAATTTCGAATGGTCTCATGGTTGTCAGTTGACAGTTAGGAACCGATAATGCTTGCAGCAATAACCAATTTCCAATGTAACCATCCCCATTACAATTATCAAAAGCTGTGACAGCCAAGCATGGTTGTACACTTGGTCCAGTCTAGTAAAGTCATATTTGGCGGTCGTATGGATAAAGAAAAAATGGGTATAGTGCATGTGTCTTAATATCTTTCTAGTTACAACAAAATTATTGTGGACAAGCAATTGCAGTAGGCAGAGCTGTAGGTGTTAAACTGTATATCAACAAAACAACAAGCTTTTGTCCCACATTGTCCGATTTCACTCAGATTTCAAAAGGCATAAGAAATCTTGGTTCAAGGGCAAAATGAGTCACTGTAGCAATCTTTGCTGGCGAGGAGGCAACTTGGATCAGGAATTGGTGGTGTGGTGTTTGGTACCCCAAAGGCATGGGATGATGCTTCTAATATCATTCAAACCTGGTGCACCCTTGACTATTTACAGGCTGCTGTATTGGAGAACTGGAAAACTGCTGTTTGCAGTGTTAAACAACAAATCCTAATGAGGTTAACGTCGCAAGTAATGCAAGCAAACAGGCACAGGCATTGTGGCCTGAATGCAAATGTCTGCATCAAGCATACTGGAGCTCTATAATCACACGACTCATTGTGATTGGAAGACGATTTATTCAGTTTATTTGTAACATGTCATAAAGCCGGTATCAGTATTTCCCAGAAACAGATTTTCTTTTGACAAGAGTAAAAGTTTTACACCTACGTATGAACATGGTAACCAATGATTACACAAAATACATATTTCCATGTATAACAATACAATAAAGTTGTAAACTGATGTACACTACGTTGCATTTGTCACTATGTGATGAATAAACTGTCGCTGAAGCAAACCTAATCTTTATAACAGTTCCTATAGGTAAAAAAATAACCTTGAAATAATTTTTTATTGGAAACAAACTCAAAATGGAAATACTCTAATTACAATGGCAAAGCATAGGAAGCAAGTCACTGTATTCATTTTACTGTCGAGTAAGTAAAGTCTTCTAGCACTGATAACAAAGAATTGCAGTAATAAACATTGCAAGAGTATACGTCTAAAAACGACATCCATTATTTCTACTTCAAACATTCAGGAAGACTGTGTTCAATGTAATAAACACATATGAACAGTACCCATATTCAAAGAAAATAAAATCACTTTTGCCAAATGACTTCTAAATAGCAGGATATTATAATAGTTTCATCAAAACTACTTCCCAAAAAGTCCTGAAAGTTTATCTTAATCAGCTTTCAATTTAAACTGTAATCTTAGGGAATCAGAATGTGTACCCAAAATGGTATCTAACTACCAGTGATGGTAGCAGTATCGGAGACAAGTGTAGCAGGAAGACTGGAACAGGACTGCAGGTCCTGACCTGACAGGCCAATGGAAGCCTTATTTGATGTCCTCCAAGGACTCAATGTCAAGGACAAACTTGAAGCTGAAGGGGTTAAAGCTGTAGCCATCACCGACATAGAACTTGCTCTGAAACTCCACCCTGAAAACAAAAGAGAAGGAGGTTTTGAATTGCAGTTGCAGATGCAAGACAAAATTATCTGGGTCATGTTGAACAGTATCTCAATAATCTATACAACTCTTATCATCGGAATATCAGAACTCCAAACGTGAAGCAGACTATAAGCATTGGTCATTTTGGTGACATCCTTGAGCATGTTTGAGTCACTGACAGTTAACTGATAATAATGGGACTAAAGCTAGGCCTTGAACATGCCTAGAAAATAGATGTAACTGTAGAAATTCAGATGAGTCAACCCATTCCCCCTCACCCATTCAATACAGTGTATGATCCTTAACATCAGATACAGATGTATTAGGGCTGGCACTGGTCCAAACTTTCTACCTAGGTCCTATTACCCTACCCTACCCGGATACCCGTTTAGTTAATTCTTGACATCAAATTTGCAAGAAATGGCAATATATTCTTCAGCTTGGAGGCTAAAATTTCAATTTTTTCAGTATCTTAAAGATTTATTATATTCAAAATAGGTGACTGTAAATTAAGTCTAAATCTTCAAAGAAAATACAACCTCTTAATCATGAAAGAGTAACATATTACATTGTTCAATCTAGAAGTCAAATGATTGTAACGGGTCTGGATATTGAGACGGGTACCCGGGTCCAACTCATTGCCCATCCGTCTCGGGTATGTGGGTTACCCGTCCCAGTGCTAAAGGAATGTTAGCAGTACATGCTCTACAGTGTTGAGAGAGTAACACAACCTACCAGTGGAGACGGAGGGTGTGCAGGAAAGCAGACAGCCCCTCCATAACCAGCAGCACGCGATGGTCAGATTGGCCCAGAACATCCACAAGACAAACACGATGACTGAACCGAACCATGGAATGTCCATGCTAAGCCCCAGGCTGAACACCATCTGCCACAGCACCTCGGACAGCTCTGTGAAAGACACCAGTTGTTTGAGTAGAAGTATACTGGCATATGAGGACAACAGATACATACTTGTGTAACAACACACATGAATAATTTACAAAAAATATTAAAAAAATCAATTGTGATGTTGGCAAGAAGCTACCTGCTTTACATGATTTAAGTATTCAAACTCTGATCTTGTATCTCTAAACAGACTTAACATAGTGCTGCTGATCAACAATTTATTCACTTCTTTACTTTCATTCCTGAAAACTTCAGACTCCCCAGATAGAATGACTGAGATAACAGGACTGTAAAACTTCTGTTTTATCTGTGAGTTGAAGGGCCTTGAACTGTATTTTAGTTACAGTCAAACCCCAATGTCTCGAACTTGGTCAAGACGAATTCTCGGTTGTGTCAAACTCATCTCTTGGTCCCTGCCGATGTCCTTATATTTATCATTATTTATATGCTAGTGTGTCGAAAACTCTGATAAGTCGAACTGCTCCCTAGGTCACGACGAGTTTGACACAACAGGGTTTGACTGTATATCACTGTATGTCAGTTTGATGTGGGAGTGCAGACTGAAGTGATTCCGTATACTACAGGTGTATCGGGTTTATCAGTGGAGACCATGATTTGATTGGTCAGTACTCACGGGCATGTGCCAGACTGAGAGCCCACAAACGCAGGTAGGATGCTGTGTGTGAGATGCAGCCAAGGCAGAACTCGATGGTGTGGATCACTTGGTGGATGAAGATCTCGCCAAACTCAAACTGAAACATCACAACACATACATCAGGCTGAACCTCAAAATGTCTGTAGAGGTATGTTGAGATGGTTTGTTAAGTTTCTTGATAAGACGTCAACAACATTTGTGTATTCCCATTTCCCACAAGCCTAAAAGATGGGGAAAGAATGTGTATCTATATATAGAGCATAAATACACAATAGAAAGTGGAAGTGGAAGGGGCAGAGGCCCAGTGGGTTAGATTGCTGACTGTGTTCAGGCAATTAGTTGCCAGACTCTGAGATTTAGGGTTCAAATCCCAGAGGGAATCAACCCAACAAAAGCACTAGAATCTGTATGTTACTGAAAAGTGTAATCCCAAATATAACACGTTACATATAGAGCATCTCTCATGGAAATAGCAGGCTGGAATCAGTGTATGCCTCTTCTACTGTATCACAGTCTCGAACCATTTTATTATTCATTCTACCAAGGGGATGTTGACGTAGCCTAATGGTTAAAGCATCCGCTCATTGCGCTGAAGACCCGGGTTTGATTCGCCAATTGGGCACAATGTGTGAAGCCTATTTCTGGTGTCCCTTGCCTTAACATTGCTAAAAGCGGTGGAAAAGCATACTCTCATTCTATCCAGTCCTAATGTAACTCCATAGCACAATGTCACATTATGGCTAAAATCATTCCCCTGCAATGCTAAATTTTAACTCACTCACCCACAGTGCAATGTGAAATAAGTCTAGATTTTCAAAGGTTCCCTCATCTCAATGAGAAATATTTTCAATTTAATTGTAGCTGCTTGTTTTAAGTAAACATTACATATTTTCAGAGACTTAAGCCTCAGGGCTATAGGTTACTCAAACCTAATACCAGTACTTACATCATCCTCAAAACCATCATCGAGAAGAAGAACAGTAGCGTCGCCCTCTGAATTCACACTGATGTCTTTCTGTGAAACAGACTGTAATAGAAACAGTGATTGTCATAGCAATTTTCTCAGCCATTACGTTACTACTTATTTTGTCTGGGAATATAATGGTTGATAAGGACAACAGTCTTTGAAAACATGCAAAAAGATATGTAATTATGTAATAAACCTGTATACCACTTTATCTTTATCACTACAAATGCCTCTACTTTTCTCCACATAAATAACTGGATAAATGTGGAATCTTTGTTATACTCCATTAATTCATGCAAATATTTCTGAAACTGTATATTCTATCAAAAATAATGTATACACTTACATGTAGCAAAAGAAAATATTAAATTAAATCATTCAATTCAATCATATCTTAAGTTGATGACTTTTAAAAACATATCTTCCTATCAAATATAATGTGTTAAGCTGTTAGTGAATTTACATACAGTTAATTGTTTTATAGCATGTTAAGGTTCAGTATCTTCAGTTGGGCAATCCAGGAATGAGTTTTCAAAAGCATAAAACATGCAAAACCATCGTTACAAGAAATATTTCATTTGGCTATGAAAAGTCTCTGTTGTTACGATGTTAGTCAGAGGAAGCATGGTTAAAATCTGAAAGAGAAATCTGAAGACCGACTTCAAAGAAATAATGTTATAAACCTTCTATATACACAAAGAGTAACAGTTTAAGCTATTTTTTGTTCATTGATTCTCAGCCTATCAGAACCACAAGTCATGCAATACAATAAAAATTGTTTGAATCAATACTATTTGGCCTACAACAAAGAATGCCTGTAATTCAAGTAATCAACTTTCCAGTTGAAAGTCAATGTGATCTTTTCCCAGAGCATTAACTGATGAGAATGATGGAATGAAATGGAATTTAATGAAATGATATGATTACTCTACTTAAATCTACATCATTGTACATCAACATGATAAATACTTGGGTATGAGGTTCACAAATGCTATCGACATTCTAAATCAGGACATTATAATCTGCTACATATTATACAGACCTAAAAAGATTAAAGACAAATAGCAGAGTTTGAGAGAATTGTTAATAGCAATGAAATATGTCAGATGACAGTTAAGTATCTCTAGATGTTACATAAACTATCAGAACAAAAGTCAGTATTCGTGCAGCTCTATAGTCTAAGCAGGACTGTTACTATGGAAACATACTGCAGGTACTGAGTCCTCAGCTTGACTAGTAGATGGCTGAAACAATGACACAACTCAAAAAATAAAAATACAACTTAGTTCTGTTTTTCAATTCTTTGTCTGCAACGTCATGCAGTACACAAAGTTCATTTTGTTAAAGGCATAACAATTACAAAATAATAATTGTTTATTAGTCACAGTGAAAATATAAGTACCGGTATGGTACTATTAGCTGATGTTGACCATATAGTGTAATTAATTCTCTGGCTAGGGTACTAAGGGTTAAATCTAACACTACATCATGCGTTTTAGTAGAGCTAACATTATAGTTTATGAACAATGAAGCTCCATGATTTCATAATGCATGAGGATGACCGAGTAAAGATTTCCATAATGCCATAGAAATGTTTAGCAACTAAGTCATGATTAAACAACCTGGATCCACTAAGTATGACCCAGAATAATAACAAAACCAAAAGGATTATCTCTGGCCCATGCAGGTAATGAAGCAAACATGTTGCTGATGTTGATGCTTGAAATTATTGTCCATTGTGTTTCTAATAGCTGGCTGGTCATCCTCTCAAAATCAGGGGGCGGATCCAGAGGGGGGCTGTGGGGGTGCGCACCACCCCTCTCACACCCGAGCATTTCCCCCCTAACTTTTGGACTTCATGCTTTATGTGCACCCATCTTCTCCAACATGCTAGATCTGCCCCTGCAAAATGTACTCTTTCAGCCAAGTTTGATGCTTTCATTCAAATTGTACCTGTCTCAGTACAGTAGTTTATCCATATCTGTTTGTAAGTTTTGTGATCATGTTAATCTTTGCTTAGTGAATCCAGGGCTGATCAATCTGAATTTGGTGGTAATCATCTTGTTAGTCTACTATGGAAAAAAGAAATTAAACATGGAATATGAGGATACTGTTGGACTTGAATGGTACATGACAATGTTTCATTTTACAAGGGATGTGGTGACAATGTTTCACCCTACGTGGGATGTGGTAACAATGTTTCATTCTACATGAGGTAAGAAGACAATGTTTCACTCAAAATGGGATGAGGTGACACTGTTTCACAAAAAATGGGATGAGGTGACAATGTTTTACTCTACATGGGATGAGGTGACAATGTTTCACTCTACATGAGGTAAGGTGACAATGTTTCACTCTACATGAGGTAAGGTGACAATGTTTCACTCTACATGAGGTAAGGTGACAATGTTTCACTCTACATGAGGTAAGATGACAATGTTTCACTCTACATGGGATGAGGAGACAATATTTCACTCTAAATGAGGTAAGGTGACAATGTTTCACTCTAAATGGGATGAGGAGACAATGTTTCACTCTACATTAGGTAAGGTGACAATGTTTCACTCTACATGAGGTAAGGTGACAATGTTTCACTCTAAATGGGATGAGGAGACAATGTTTCACTCTACATGGGATAATGTTTCATTCTATATGGGATGTGGTAACAATGTTTCACTTTACATGGGATGTGGTGACAATGTTTCATTCAAAATGGGATGTTTGGAACATTGTTTCATTTTACCAGGAATGTGATGATATATCATAATAACATGATGTTGTATATACAAAATAATTACGGTGGAAACACTTTAAAATGATATTGATGATGCTGATACAAATTTCAACCAAAGGAACTTTGGTATTAAAGATGAAATAAAAGCCATTTGTGCCAATATAATAAACAATGTTTGATAAATGTGTTGATCATATCCACATTTTACTGCCTTTTATATCCCAAACCTTTAGGAATGAACTCCCACTGTACACCTCTACGAGGATATGCTGTTCAGTCAGACAAGAAGTATGAACTTGTAGCATACCAATTTCAGCAGGACATTGACAACAAATGTTTGTCATGCAGGGGCTTAACAACAACTAGACACAAACAACAAAGCTGGGAACAAACTAAAGCTGCACACACTGAGGGATGTAAGGCATGTCTCTGTTACTTACAGAGAGGTCATATGACCCACTGCTATCGACTGACAATTTGTCAGAACCCCTGGACGACAACCTGGAGAGCTCCATGCTCGACATAATGGACGAGCTCTGAGAAGGAATCACCATCAAGATAAATGCTATTTTGCCACATGATACACTTATTCCATCAAGTAACATTAGTCTGTTTTTGGTGTGTGCTACAAAGAATCAACATGCTGACTGACAGACAAACAGGCAGTATTCTTGTCTATTGTCAGTCTCAGATGCTGTGTGTCATGCAGTTATTACATATCACACATGGCATATTTCAGGGCTTCATTAACCCTGACTTTCAATTATTAGTGTCCACTGCATACTGTCTAAACCGGCATCACAAGCATGATCAAAACAGCTGCCCTTGTTATCCTGTGACAAGAAATACTTAAAGTGGGTCACAGAAAATAATCCACTTTCGTCAGTACATACATACATACATACAAAAATACATACATAGACACACACACACACACACACACACACACACACACACACACACACACACACACACACACACACACACACACACACACACACACACACACACACTTGTATAGCGCCGATATCCAGCTCAGCTGCTCAAAGGCGCTTTGTTTTTTCCTAGTTCACTGGATGTCAATCTCAATGGCACATCTTTGGTATAACATTTCATCAAACTATAAAATCTATATATATATCTCATAGATCAAAGACTTTTTCAGCTTTCAAGTAAAGTTTGGACATCTAGTGACTTCACCATATCAGGTAATATAGAATATATATTTGATGCCATCACACAGTGGAATACGACTGGTCTATAATATTTAGGACTGAAGGGTTTCATGTTGGAAAATAATCAGTGAAATGTAACTATACATTTGTATAAATGAAGTGTTTAATTAAAAACAAAAATAATACTTAGATATGATTGTGAATGACTAATGTACATCATGCTGACTGTAAAGCTGGTTTATAACTTGTATAACACACCAAGAACTCTGAAGTTTAACTCTACAAAGTAAATAACAAAAACATCATGATGAAGTGTCATAATGTCATGCAAATATTTCTGATATATTTTCACGACCAATAAGTTCCCCATGAAGCAGCTATAGTTATATCAGACTTAATACCATGGGATGAGGCCCTGAAACTATAGGGAAACGATATGTATTCTTTTCATATAACATCAGGGACTCCTTTCACAAAGCAACCTTACTGAGGTCAAACCTTAACATTGCACTAAGGTTACCTTAGTGACTTATGATCACCTTAGTGCTTTGTGAAAGGAGGCCCAGGTCTATTGCAGACGAATCTGTTTGTGTCCTTTCCAATGATCAGTGATGATTTCAATGAAATGAATAAGCAAAATGATCTGCGCTGATATATATACACCTGTCAAAAAAACTATGACTAAATAGCAACTTTAATGCTTCTTACAATAGCCAGGATAGCTTCAGCTATGAAAATGATGTACAAATTTGTACATTCATGCAATGTGTGCCTCTTGTATACATCAAGCAAGTTAACTTGTATAAAATTAGAAGCATATAGAATGCCTTGAATCATCCTACCAATTCCTCAGGGTTATCTGCCCCTTCTGGCAATGGCTGCAATAAAGAGTCACCTAATGGATCAGCCCACAGTTAGTAAATGTAACAAGGTATAGAACAAAGAGGCCATAAAGTATTCATATAAGCACATACAGCGATGTTGGGTATGAAGCAGATAAATACTCATCATGTGACACATGTTTGCTTCAACAATTCATCTCCATCCCTTAAAACTCCTTGTATTTTTAAACCAGATGCCTCATAAACCTTGCAGTGGTACATCTCTAGGCACTGACTTACTGTGCCAGTGTACTAAAGGTTTAATCTCACATGTGATGTGAATCTTACATTCATTTTGCTACATGATCAAACTGTCTTGAGCTATGAATACATGAGACGTTTTTATGGATAACAACTTGTCTTGAGTTATTTCAGTAGTACTTTGACATGAAACTGTTTTCATGGATAACAACTTGTTCTATTCTTTGTAGCAGCATTTCTGAGCTACATATTACACCTCCCTCATGTGAATAATAGTGAGTGAGTGAGTTTGATTTTACGCCGCTTTTAGCAATATTCCAGCAATATCACGGGGGGGACACCAGAAATGAGCTTCACACATTTTGCCCATGTGGGGAATCGAACCCGGGTCTTCGGCGTGACGAGCGAACGCTTTAACCACTAGGCTACCCCACTGCCCCATGTGAATAATACTGAAACAAGGTAAAAAATAGCTCAGAAACTCTATTACACAGAAAACGAAGTTATTTCCCCAAAAGTGTCATGCATTCCTAAATGTTTATATTACAGCTGTAACAAATATACAAAGTGGTGAATACTATTTGCATCACAAATGTGAGTTAACAATATTAACTATTATACAGCTCATAAAAGCTATTTGGTTGAGGTTTTGTAACTATTGTCAACAGATCTAAATATGTATCTCCATCTATCTGCCCACATAGATGTATATCTATCTATTGATAAAAAAAGCAAGGAAAAAAAATAATTCCATTAATCACTTTTGTCCTGTGTGTTTGTGAGTTGAAAAATTCACTGACACATCAAAACAGTATGCACAAATTAAGTTAATTGACTAGTTGTGACTAGTTTGGTTTTATTCAGTTTTATGTTCAACATGTTCACAACTGCTTTCAGCAATATTCCAATGACAGTGACCTGTGAATAATCAACTCTGAACCATACAAACCAGTGATTGGTATTAAGAGGAACAAGCCACAATATTTGGGTACAAAGACATGCTATTATCCAACCAATTCATTATTGGTTGGATTGCCATTATTGGTTGACACATGTCATCGTATCCCAATTGCATAGATTGATGCTTGTAATGTTGATCACTGGATTGTCTGATCCAGACTAGATTATGTACAGACCGCTGCTATATAGCTGGAATATTGCTGAGTTCGGTGGTAAACAACAAACAAACAAATCATGTCACCTTTTATATCAAGCATACATTACTGGGTCTGGTGTAGTTAGTACCGGTACATGCAGGTGACACTGGATGGCAATCGCAATTCAATATACTATTTGTTACACCACTGAATAGACTGTAGTCACCTTAATTTGGCATTGAAAATGGGGTAAAATAAGCAAGCCAGTTTGTTGCTACAATAAATATGATATTTAGAGAAGCAAAATATATTATGCATTTTCTGTCAACTACACTTCGTTTCGATCCGTGAGTAGACACAATATATATGACAGTGAATTCTTTGAATAATGTGGACCAAAGTTATAATTATTGGTAACTGCCAGTTGTCTGTGGTCTGTGTTTGCCCGCAATTAGGACCCCATCGCGGGGGATCGACTTATGCACGAAACATACCATTTTGACACTGATTTTAAGGGTCAAGTTTGGGGGTCGTCTTATCCATGGGGTCGTCTTATAGACGGTCATATACGGTAAGCACAAATACCTGCCAAGACAAAGTGTGTCAGACAGTGGGGCTGTTTCTATATGACTATGGTCTAAAAAATACCCCAAAGATTTACAATTAAGGAATACATTTCTCATTGATAGCTGTCATTACAAAGTCTCAATATATATTTCCACATAAGGAACTATGAGTTGCGTTATGCCAAGGTAACTCAAGTAAGCCTGTAACAGCTTGGACCTGATCTAATGTCTAATGTGAATAACATTAAAATACAACTATTTGACTTTCCTACACATGTAATCACAAATATAGTTAATGGAAAAAAATGTCAAAAAGAAACCTTAAAATTCTTGAGCAACACACAACAGCTACTTACAAAACTTAATGCTGGATGGTCTATTGTTTCATATACTCCTCAAAAAAGTTTAAAAAACACCTTATTCATTCAAGTTACATGTATTATCTGACATAAATCTTAAGTTCTTTAACTTCTTTTGAGCTGTATGTCTCATAATGGTAGCAAACAGGCAAACTCGGTAAAGTCTTGGGATATGTACATAATATAGGGCACCTTGTCTCTGAAAAGATTTTCACAAGTTATCGCTGCAATCAAAAGCACAAAATAGGGAATATATTTGTGAAACATCCTAATCTAATGGCTATATACACCACCACCGAAACTGCTACTGAAACAAATGTGGGTTACTTTAAGGGACATTTCATGGGATCCCTTAAAGAAAAGACAAGTATTTAGTACACAGACCATTAAGGTATAAGAACACAGACCTAGAGGACCAGACAAGCTACACTACTGGTTATAATAGACTAAGCTACTGTCTGAGAGGTTATATCATCTGGCAAGCTATGGTTATACTGTACTATTGTAGGCATGGCAGGAAATACTGTCCACTCAGGGAGAATCAAATAAGTGGAATTTTCACGATTTACATTTTTTCAAATTCTTATTATAATTAGCAAACCTGGTATCTTTTTGCATTGAATACGTGACTTGTAGATAGTCTTTAGAGAATTCTGTGGACACGGTATTTCCTGCCTTTGCTGAACTCCTTCCCAGGTCATGACGTTAACCTGAGAACGAGGCTGAACAGATCATGCCCCCAAAGATGGCACAGACTGGATACATGCGCATGTTGCACAGCCATGCCGACTTACCCCAAGTTCGATATCGCCTTCCCCATCGGCTTTTGAATCAGCATTCTGTTTACGCGGTACCCCATTACCGGCAGACTGTACCAGAATTTTATAGTTAAGCAATTTTCGTGCACCGCAGGAACATTTCAAACCCATGCTTAGCTAGTCAGGACAGATGTAACCAGAATGGGGGATAGCCCACATAGAACACCAGTTATGGTAACCTGTTGTACATATGTCACCATTCAAGGACTCTCTCACAAAACTAAACAATATTCTCTTTCTTTCTAAAATCTACAAAAGGTAATATGAAAATAATCTAAAAATCAAACCATAATCGAATCTCAATAATGGCACCTTCATCAGGAAGATATCAACATTTACATCTATTTGTTAGCTAAGTCACACAAGCCTCTACACACAAAATCACATACTAGCAGCAGTAGGTTAATAATATTAAACCAAACAGTTATTGACACTTCAAGCTCCCAATAACTAATACAAATTCTCTTTCTATAGCATTCAAACAAAAAACTTTTTTATTTGGAACATATCATGCAAACTGGGCAAAACACAGACAATAGTCTGAGACAAGTGAAAATCATGAGGGACTATTTTTTCTCCCTGATATCTCTATCCTTGTCCAGGCCAAAAGAGGTACTGACTAACATGCATGGTACATTTATGTACATCCAGCTCAGATTTCTAATCATTCCACACCAATCATTACCACAGAGCTACATATTCATACATCAGACAATGCCCCGACTACTGGTTGTCATCCGAGAAATGATCATGCAGAGAGACAGAGTAGAGCGGGGGCTTCATCTCATTGAGGACCAAACTGACTTTGATGTTGTCGATATCATGGAATAAAATATCACAGCCAACAGGTATTCAAGAACAATATGAATGTACAAATACTTACATTTTCTCCAAGAACTTCATTTGGAATAAGAGCATCTGTAGAGTGAGCAGCAAGGCTGCCTCTCATCTGAAATGTAATACTTTCCTTAAAACTTGTTATATCAGGTGCTTACAATATCCATCTTGATAGTGCAATATATCAGTAATTAACATATCACATGGGTTAGTTTTCATATATTCAAATTCCTGCTTTTGAAAAAAGAATGTACTCATCATTAAGCTATGTACTATTTATCAATTCATTCAACTGAAAAAAAATACACAAAAATGCCCTGCAATAGAAAACCTGTCACAAATTTCTTTTAAATAACAAATATTTAATTGCCCATCCTCTTTCCTTTGTATAATAGTTTGACAACTATCTTATAAAAAGGTAATGAAAAGTGTGTGTCTGACAAGTATTATGCTAGTACTGCTAATTTGAGCAGACGTAACAAGCATCCACGGGTGATACAAGTGAAAACACTGATGTGGAATATTCCTGCCATATCATAACAGGCAACATATAGAACAGGTCTTACATATTGAGAATTGAGCTACAGCCTTTGGCTCAAGGAGTCAACACTTTAATGACAAGCCTACTCCATAATCTTTATAGTGCTTTCTGAGTGCACTTGTGAGAAGAATCGAACCCAGGACCTTTGGTGCAATGAGCCACTGCTTTAACCATAAGGCTACCCAACATCCTCCCTGTTCTCAGCACACCTCAGCACATGTCATGTATGTGTAGAATCAATGACAGACCGATGTTTTAACCATGAGGATACCTCATTGTCATTTCTGTTCCCATCCTTGAAAGTATCCCAGTCTCTCCTTGTGTGTATTAACTTTCAGTTGCTAATTATACCTCAAGGTCATTTAGAATTGACCAGTCTTATGTTTTAGTTGTTACAATTGTTTATGCCTCAGATCATATACTCCTTATTTTCTATGTGTCAGTCATTTATGTAAAACCATTGCAAATTGGTGTTCTAACAATTTGCCTTACTGAGTTTTCATAACTATGATTAAAAAGCTGGTGTGATGGCAACATGGCCATGAAAGCTCACATGTTTAAAAAATACTTTAGATTTACTTATACATGAAAACCAAACAGGTTTTATTCCAGGTAGAACTATTAGTGAAAATACAAGATTATTATATGACATCATGTTTGAAACGAAAAAAAGAAATATGCCAGGATTACTTATTCTAATTGATTTTGAAAAAGCTTTTGACACAGTTTCAAAAGATTTCATCAATTCAGTCCTTAAGAAGTTTGGATTTGGTCCACAAATAATACACTGGATTAATCTACTAACATATCACACAACTTCTTGCGTGATACAAAATGGCCACTTATCTGACTTTTTTGTAAATGAAAGGGGTTGTAGACAGGGGGATCCCTTATCACCATATTTATTCCTCTTTGTAGCTGAAATCTTGGGATGTATGATAAGAAATATTGATAAAATTAAAGGCATTGTTATTGATGATAAAGAATACAAGTTAGGCCAATATGCTGATGATACCGAATTATTTCTTGATGGTATAGATGAGAGACTTTATGCAGCTATTGAAACAATCAATACTTTTTATAAGATGTCAGGTCTGAAAATAAATATAGATAAGACTAAAGCTATCTGGATTGGCTCAAAGGCAGGCAGTGAAGAAATATTATGTAAAAGTTTGAAAATTGAATGGTATAATGGACAGTTTGATGTTCTGGGAATCAAATTTACCCCAAACCTTGCTGATCTATGGGTGATTAATACAAGAAAAAGACTGGAAGAAATAAACAGATTATTAGCAGTATGGAGAAAAAGACATTTGACATTGATAGGAAAAATCACTGTCATCAAAACATTAGCCCTTTCAAAATTAGTACATATTTTCAGTTCATTGCCCAATCCTCCAGATGACTTTATTAAATCCCTTGAAAAGATATTTTTCAAATTCATTTGGAATGATAAAAATGATAAAATAAAAAGAACCACAATGAAAAGATTAAAGACTGAAGGTGGACTGGGTATGGTAGATATAAAAATATTTATTGAAGCTCTAAAATTATCCACTCTTAGGCTCTACTGTAAAAAATCATCCGAAAATAATCCTTGTAATATACCTTATAATGATATCTTCAAGTATGGAGCAAATATTGACAAAATACTCAACATTGAAAACCCTTATTGGAAAGATGTTTTAAAAGCATGGAATAATTATTGCAAAAGTTCAATGCTGATTCTGACAATATTGATTACATTCTTGCAGAACCATTATGGCTCAATCACTATTATAAAACCCTTGCCATGTTATTATTCACTGGGTAGGATAAGGGCTTATTGACAGTAAAGGATTTATGTGATGAACATGGATTTATGCCATTTGATAAGTTAAAGATAAAATACAAAATAAGAGGGACACTATTAGACTATAAATATCTACTTCACATCTTACCTGATATTTGGAAAAATGTTATTAAAAGGACAAGAATCATTCCTTCCTACAATGTATACATCAATGTTTACAAAAGAAATATGTTAAAGCTCTCCAAAGGTTCAAGAATATTTTATGACAAGCTGATTTCTAAAAATGATAAACTTGAAATTTGTACTTAATGGGAAACTATATTCAATGATTGTGAGTTTGATTGGTACAAAAAATTTAACTCTTATAGACATGGATTGAAAGACGTTAAACTTCTTGATTTTCAATACAGATTTTTGCAAAGGGTTATTTATACTAAAAAAGAATTATCGAGAATGAACCTGATTGACAATGATTTGTGTAGTTTGTGCAATAATGTTTCTGAGAGCATTTGTCATGTTTATTGGGAATGCTGTGAAAGCATGAAATTCTGGAATGATCTCGAACTCTGGATTAATAACTATTTACCATGAAAAATAAACATCACAAAATATTTGATTTGGTTTGGTACATTGCATAATGATGTATTACTAAATCAAATCATTATCTCTGCCAAAAAACATATCAATTTATGTAATATAAAAAAATCAATTCCAAAATTCAGTAATTATAAAAAGGTATTAAAAGAGATATTTTCTGTAGAAAAAATTATTTCAAAGAGAAACAATGAAATCGAGAAATTCAATCTTAAATGGAATTCGCTCATCCCAGTATTCAGCAACTAATTACCATTATATCTCTACAGCAATGTATCTTCACCTTTTCTGTGCTTGTTGCTACCATATACCCTTGTTATTGACTTTGTAACCATGGGAACAAATAAAAAAACCAAAAACAAAAACAAAAAAACAAAAACAAACAAAAAACTATGATTAAAAAGCTGGTGTGATTGCAACATGGCCATGAAAGCTCACATGTTTGCATTCTTTGTGTAGATGCTATTATCTACATTTCCTTTATTTTTCAAACTGACAACACATTTAAAATAAACACCATGCTGCATTACTCAATATTTTCACTGGTGAAGAAATGTTTGCATTAAATTTTGTAATGGCATGATAGAGATATTCTCAACGTAGAGCTACATGTAGTTTATTTTCAGATACAACAGTGCCTAATTTACCACCTGAAACCCCACACTGTAGGTTTTGTTCAAAATTAAATTTAGGCAGAGTTGAATCCACAATTAACCCTGCTCTACGGTGAAAATCTCCTAGGTAAACCATCTCAATAATTCACACACACAACATATTCCAACACTGAATAAACTCAGTGTAACCAAAGCTTCCAAGCAGTTTCTATGGCAATTCTGCTGAAAAAGGAAGCTCAATACAGTAGCTGATTACACATACATATATACCAACAGCTCCATTCTCCAGCACTAGCAACATATATCTTAGGAACATTTGAGCATCTGAAAACTACATTTTTCACATGAATACACACTGATTTAATTTTTTAGAATTATTTAATTTTTGCAACAAGAATTAGAAATGCGTCTTACAGCATTCTCGATTAAAAAGCACAAGTTTGAAACAGATAAAAGTGTTTTCATATGCCACACAATGTTTCTAAGAATATAATTTACACTACAACTAGTAATACTTACAGCTTCAATTTCCTAAAAAAAAATCAAAACTCACCAGTCAAACTCATGCCAAATGCTAAATAAACCTGAACAATGCCATGCACATGCAAAAATATACAGCAGAAGGAACCAACATGAAACAAATCACCACTTCTGTGTTAGTAAGACAAGATGACATGTCAACAGTACAAAGGGTAAATGTATGGTGTATACACAAAAGGATCAGGTCATGCTGGATAACATATTTCTGTGAAAATGTTGTGTCATTTTATTATCTACTTGGTTATCTGGTATTAAATGTGCTAGAAGTGACTGATATAAACGTTTTGTATTGTGAAAGACATGTTATACTGACACAGCTATAAACTATGTTAACTCAGAACAGGGGTGAGAGGGAGTTCTATCCATGTTATAAGAATAGTCAAAGCATCATTCTACCATGGACCTGAAAAATACTTGATTCTCACTGATCATTTAGAGGTTTCAAATCACAATAACCATATCTGACTGAAAGAGACAGTGTTATATCTGGGCGGTGGGGTAGCCTAGTAGCTAACTACATACAAGGGATACTTGATACTTTGACAATCCTTATCATACCAGAAATGTGAGAAAACTAAAGAAGAAATGTCAAGAAATGCAAATGTTTTTGTACAACTCACCCTGAGCTTAGCATTATGTTGAGCTCGAAGGACAAAGGGCTTGATGAACAGCAACACGGGCACACAGGCAACAGCAGCTATCAATAATATGGTCTGGACTGTTTGCTGGAACAAACATCATTATATGATGTACAGCTGGCTCTGGATAGAGTGAGTGAGTGAGTTAAAGTTTATAGTCACAGCGGCAGTATTTCAGCCATATCGTGACTTAAGACAGTTATAAATTCATGACAAATGCGCGCAAATTTTTAAAATCTGCTGACAAAGGACAGTAAAACCAACTAGTATATCACAGTAATAGGAAATAAAACTAGCTTATATCTCTAAACTAGGATTTGAAATTAGGACAATACAATATATAATAAGGCTGAGGATTGCCAACAACTGAAGGTAGATCACCACTCTAGGGACCATGGGGACTTACAGTACTTTGGTTACCTGCATGGACCCTAGCTGGATTTATATCATCCCTTCAGCCACTGGCGATTGTACTGATATGTAGCCATAATAAAACAACAAATATTCTACGATTAAAAAGGTATGTAGAACTAAATTGACTTGGGAAGTTTTGGTACTTACGTACGCTCTGGGTAGATATGCTGGTGACATTGTATGTATTCATACAACAGAGTTGCTAGTTTATTGTTTGATAAACCCCAGAAAGGGGGCAGGACATAGACATCAACGATGAAATTTTGAGGGGTGGTAACTGCACTGACAAGTGCCATTACAAGAGATCGTACCTGGTTTGAGTAGAAAGGCAACTGTGGGTTACACACTTTGGGTCTCCTTTGGCTTTGTAATTGAACATGAACATGTTGATGTACTCTGAAATAGGAAAACAAAGCTGATAACTGGGCCTGTCAAAAACTTAGTCAGTGAGTGTGAGTGAATGTGTGAGTGAGTGAATGTGTGAGTATGTAAAGCTGAAAACTGGGCCTGTCAAAAACACAGACAATTTGTGTGTGAGTGAATGTGTGAGTGAATGAGTGAACAAACGATCTAAAATTCAACAGTTCATCAGAAAAATCTTTGTCATACAACTTCGAGATACTGTTTGGAAGACATACTTCCACATCGTATTTTGTTAATTATCTGTGAAAGGAAAAATGTAATTTTCTGAGTAAAATTGATATTTTATACTTATCCTGACTCATGCTTATTTCTTGTCTTCTTCTTCCTTGCGAACATAGTGGAACACGTGTATCTCCCAATTGAAGTTCCCTTCAATGTAAAATCACTAATTAGTACTCGAGGTTATCTGTCCCCCAAGCACAGGAGCAGGAGGAGCCCCTCCTGCCATGTGCCTCACTCTCTCCTCATATACTGAGCCCAACACTTGAATTTTCAGGAAATCCAAAGTGTTATGTGGGGAGGATGGGAGGGCTTACCTCATGAGTCAGGATAAGTATAAAATATCAATTTTACTCAGAAAATTACATATTTTTCCTTATCCTGACTCATGCTTATTGCTGTAGAATCCGGACGGAAATGGAGGTGGGAATATATAATACTTTGGATTTTAATGATTGAGTGATTTGAACTGTGATGATTGTAATAACCCTATGGGAACTTCATATAAAGGCACTGAACTGATGAATTCCTGCTGCTAACTTATCAGCTGCCATATAAAGGTTATTACAATTTACTTATTATGATAAAAGTATATCACGACATTAATACAATGCTTAAGACTAATAGACTTAAGCTTGTTAATATGATAGCATAAACTCCTTAGAGTTTGTTAGCTAAAATACTTTTATGATATAAACATAGTACTGAGCTTAAGATATGAATAAACTTAAGCTACATATATAATAGCAAAAACTCTGTAGAGTTTGTTAGCTAATATATACTTCTATGAAGTAAACATAGTACTAAGCTTAAGATATGAATAAAACTTAAGCTATATATATAATAGCAAAACTTCAGTAGAGTTTGTTAGCTAATATATTTTATGATATGAGTATAGTACTGTGTTTAAGATATAATTAACTTAAGCTACCTAAATAATAGCAAAAAACTCAGTAGAGTTTGTTAGCTAATACATTTTATAATGTAACCATAAAGTTTAAGATATGATGAAACTTAAGCTAAATATATAATAGCAAAAACTCCTTAGAGTTTGTTAGCTAATATACTTTTATGATATAAACATAGTACTGAGCTTAAGATATGAATAAAACTTAAGCTACATATATAATAGCAAAACTCCGTAGAGTTTGTTAGCTAATATATTTTTTATGATATGAGCATAGTACTGTGCTTAAGATATAATTAACTTATGCTACATATATAATAGCAAAAAACTCTGTAGAGTTTGTTAGCTAATACATTTTATAATGTAACCATAATGCTTAAGATATGATGAAACTTAAGCTAAATATATAATAGCAAAAACTCTTTAGAGTTTGTTAGCTAATATACTTTTATGATATAAACATAGTACTGAGCTTAAGGTATAATTAACTTAAGCTACATATATAATAGCAAAAACTCTGTAGAGTAGAAATCTGTAAGATTAACTTATCTTCTCCGAGGAACTGTCAACTGTTGTGCGAGGGACCATGGGACCGAATTGGTGGAGACCAGAGACGTCCTCGGTGGTGATATCTCTCAGATAATGGTTGGCAAACACCATATCGGATCTCAGAAATAACCCTCCATTATGGTATTTCAAGGGCACTTGCCGTGTAGAGCAAGTGTAGATGTTAAGCAGCTCTAATATCATGAGGGTTAGAAGCTCTTGGAGGGTCGAGTCCTGCAGTCTTGTAGGCGCGTAGTATGACAGTTCTGATCCAAATGGAGATAGTAGTGCGTGAGACTTCAGTCTGCGTAGCTTGTTGATAGAGGAAATAAATCTCTTGAATTTTTCCCTCCTGTTTGGCTTCGGTGGAGATATATTTTCCAGTGCTCTTACTGGCCATCGTGATAGATTCATCGTATCATTGGGGTCCAAGTATATCATCAAAGCGTGTTCATAAACCTCACTTGTGAGGTGTTGGACCACTATATTCAGATCCCAAGCTGGAGCATGAAACTTCCGTTTAATCCTCCAATCGAAAGCTCAGTAGCAAGGCAAGTAACTGGGGTTTAGGTTAACTTGGACGCCCGTTCTCAGTTATGACAGAGCTTATTGCTGCAAGATAGGTGGACAAGTTGAGCCTTTTAAATTCTTAGTCTGACGTAGATAACATAAGTAGTCAGCCACTTGAGGATGAGTAGCATATCTAGCCGTAAATCCTTTCTTTGCAGCATAATTGAATGACAAAACTGTGCCATTTGTGTCATCGTATAAGTTGCAAGTTGAGTTACGCAGGGCAAGCTAGACTGCTTTGCGCTCTGGCTGAATAACCTGTTATTCAGACCTTATGATACAATCCATCACGTGAAGTTGGAATATTTCTGGCTTCCGTGTGCTTGTTTTGGTCAATGCGGATGTATTAACAGATTGAGCACTCTGTAAAGATGTAGTATAGGTTGTCCGATTCCTTGAATAAGAGTTGGAAACCACGTTCACCTAAGCTGGTTAGTAGGCGCGACCAAAATCAGATGGAGGCTCTGGCGTTTGACTGATTTTGGTAAGACTTGTGAGATGCGCTGGTGGTGGAAAAGCGTGCGGCGTTGAGTCCTTCCAACGATATGCTTAGTGCGTCCGTTGCCCATGCTAGTAGGTCTGGAACTGGCGATCTGAATGTTGTCAGTTGTTTGTTGAATCAGTGGCAAATAGGTCTATTAGTGGAGTTCCTATTTCCTTGATAATTTGAGTGAATATCTCTGTATGGAGCATCATTCTGTCGGTGATGGTATGTGTGGCCGAGAGAGCGCGTCTGCTATCACATTCTTTGCTCCTGGAATGTGATATGCTCTGACATGTATGTTTAGATTGTCGATTAAATGAACAATTGAAAACATAGAGTCGATAGGTTCGAGGGACCTGGTTGAGCTTAGTTTGTTCACATAAAAAACGCCACTGTCGAATTGTCTGTGTGAATCATCAACTGGGTATACTGTAGTAAGTTGCTCCAGTGCATTAAGGCGTTTAACACTGCTTGCATCTCTAGCAGATTTATGTGTAATTTGCTCTCTGATTGCTCCATAGCCCTGATGCCGTCCTGTTGGCAAGATGGGCTTCCCAACCTTGTAGTGACACATCATTAGAAGTGTTATCGATTCCAGCTCTATTAACGAGGCAGCCTACTCAAACATTCGATCTCTTGGTCCACCATAGTAGATGAGGTTTGACCTGATCCGATAAATTGAGCGGTAGAGATTCGTCTAGATCGCGAATTGATGATGACTTGTAACGGATGTAATTGTAGTCTGCCTCTGCCTGTGCGTAACCCCAACAGGCTCTGCCACTGTCGTAGTGGTAGCGGAGCCAGTAAGGCTTGTGGAAATGACTATTTGATCTTGATCCATGGTCCTCCGGTACAATTATCACGATTCTGCGCCCGTTACAAATCAAAAACTTAGAAATGCAGATCTTGCGTAGGTTCTAGGTCTAACTTCAGTAGGTTTACTAACCATCCTAGTTGTGTTAGTAGCTTGATGATGAAATTCAACTGTAGTCTGAGGCGCTGTGGATTTGGATCCACTTGTATCCCGTCGTCGAGGTAAATTCAGCTCGCGAAGTCCTTGGCGATGTAGGTGCACAACCAGGGGTGACTGCCATTGTTGAACTTTATGTAAAAAATCAGCCTGACTGCCGTGCCTCGTCCTTACTTGACAGGGAGGTCTCTAACCTTATGAAGGCAGCCCAATCATGAAGGTTCAGATTAGCTGGACTGTAAGGAGGCTTGCTCGTTCTCACTGATATATTGTTGTCACTTGCAACCTATGTCTTGAACTGTGAACTGTGATTCGACCTCGTAGAGGCGTTGTCCATCGCTGGTCCAATCAGAACAAGGCATTTTGATTCTGCATAGCAAGTACCCGGCGCTGTGATGTCACCGGTGTAGCAGGAAAAGGAACCTTGTATAAAATAGTGCCGTCGTTGATATTAGAACAATCGTCGGTCTTCACGTAGCTTCGAAGTTACCCGGAAAGTGACCACATGTTTCGAGGGTTAATGGTTAAACGCGAAACCTCCGGTGAAATACCTCGGCTCTGTCATATTAATGCTGGGTAGGTTATTTTCCTGGCTGTTGTGAAAGTAACTTCAGTCTTGAAGATAATTCCGACTTCCTTATATAAAGATTCAATAAAACTTGCAAGTTGTCAGCTTGCCAGACTGTATACATGAATGTATCATCATAATTGTAGAATTAAAGCTGAACTTGTTGTACCTATTTCTTCTCAGGAAATCGTTTGACGATTATGAGTTTTACTGGCTGTAACAAGGTTGCTGCTCAATTCCGTTATTGAATTGTCTGCAGATCTGCGTAATGGTCCGCATGTAGATAATCGTGATCGTAGTCCGGGATTGCATACCTAGCAATCTATACGGAAATGTTGAATCCTGTGAAGATCTACGAAAGCGTCGTTGATGCCCTTGATGTAGGTAGTCGGCTTGAAGATCCTTAATTAGGCTCTTCATCTGTTGATAAAATAATACAGCGATTGTGCAATTGTCTTCGCGTAGGATTGTAGGACGCATATGGCATACAGTTGATAGACAAGTCATGCAAATGTCTTGAACGGACTGATCGGCGAGTGGCTATATATGACGAAGTGGCTAGTATATGGAGACCTTGGAGGAGACTTCCTCGGCGAACACTGGGGACTTCGCTAAGCTCTCGAAGTATCCCTTCTAGATCTTCTGGGTGAAGTAGACTTGGAGCCATTATCTTTAGCCTTGGCGACCTTCGCGAAAGTATCGAAGTCAGAGTCCGATCAATATATGAGCGCTTTGCCTTCGCTTGAATCCACCCCTGTGTTCTACAGGGGTGTGTCGGCTAAGCGGCCCTCCTCCGCCGACGCATACCTCGCAACTGGTGAGGATCTAGCTCCCTTCGTGGAGGCTGCCTGGGACTTCCTTAACGAAGTGTTCGCTACGGGCTGGGTTGCCCTTTCGCAGAGACGCGTTTGTAGGCTCTGGGGCCCCTCTCTGAAGCTGGCTAAGGGCTCTGGGGCCCTGTATGACTTATTATGGGTTGGGCTCTGGGGCACGTGGCTCTGGGGCCTCTGTAAACCGTGAACGTCCCTCCATCAGTCTCATATGGATTTGGTTGACCAGGTCGTCTGGGATGGTCTATAGCTGGCGTTGAGGGTGTCCTCTGTGATAGTGACGGGACCCTCAGTCATAATCTCCTCGGCGCCAGCGTAGGCATCTCTGTTTGTGTGTTGATCTGCGCTGAAGTGGACGGTAGCAGATACTGGGCGCTTCTTATGACGCACATCTGGAATGATAATCGGAATGTCATCATCATATAAACATAATTCTGAATATCAGAAGCAAAGTTGTTGTTTTTTGTAGCCTTCATTGGATTTCCCCTTTGCCGCTGTAGACCTGGGGGTTCGAGCGTCACGTTGAGACTTACGTGGAAGCTCTTCTAGTCTTAGACTGTGATGAAGGAACGTCCTGGGATGCAGGTCGCTTCTAGGAGATATAGCGGATCATGCGTCCACGCTTTATCCCTGAAGGTAACTCAGGATATATCTGACTCCGATCTATTAGCCATGACTGAAGATTGTTTCCGAGATCTATCTGCCATCCGTCACAAAGACGGAATATAAATATTTATCAAAGGCAGAATTAGACAAGTTAATACATAATTTACAGCGTGGAAACAATAGAGCATGGAGATATGCAACTAGAGCATCTTAAATGCGGATCGGTAGCAGAGTAACGTAATTTACAAACAGTGCAGATTTTTATTAACGCAAACTGCTGAGCAAACACGGCGAACCGTGAATCAAGCAGCAGAAACACGTAATAATTATCAATGCATGTTGAATAAGGATACTAGTTACACCTCTATAGATGAATATAAGAGGTAACAAACTAAATATAAATAAAGGATATAGTGTGCAGGGAGACACACGCCTTGCTCACTGGGCTTAAGAAGGAGAGTGAGGCACATGGCAGGAGGTATACTACCGTCCCCCGCTTGGGGACAGATAACTCAGGAGTACTAATTAGTGATTTTACATTGAAGGAACTTCAATTGGGAGATACACATGTTCCACTATGTTTCGCAAGGAAGAAGAAGACAAGCAATAAGCATGAGTCAGGATAAGGAGAAAAATGTAATTTAACAATATTCGGTGATTTGGTAACACCGACACAGTGAATTATGATGATCTTACGGATGAGCAGCGCAGGTGCACAGCTGGCCTCGGTGACATCGAATGTGACCCACTTGAAATAGACGAGGGCGACGAGGTAGCCGAAGAGGCTGAGGAGGAAGATGACCTCGGGGATGAACTCCACCAGGATGTTCAACACATTCCTGAAGTGGCTGTAACACACATGACACTATTGAAACACACTGACACTGACACTGACACTACTGAAACACACTGACACTGACACTACTGAAACACACTGACACTGACACTAATGAAACACACTGACACTGACACTACTCTGACACCACTGAAACACACTGACACTGACACTAGTATTAAGAAAAATCTGTCATGTGAACCAAATATCAGCAGATCCTGGTATGGCAAAAGGAGGCAACACTTGACATCAAGTGGCTGTAACCACTAGTCTGCCAGGCCCACAATGCGACTCACATGTGGTTGAAGATTCCCAAAATGATGCCGAACAACATTTGAGAGATGCCGAGGATAACAGCTGTCTTCATCTTGAAGGAGTTGAGGAACGTGATCTTGTTATCAGATAATTGCCAAATCTGTCACAAAACAAATTAATAGACATCAAGTTTGTTCATGAAACAGTGCTTTTTTAAAACATTTTTTTTTATAGAAATAAATAATAAGATCATGGATCTACAATAACTAAAAATGTAATTTTTAAAAGTAAAATTGATATTTTTATACTTATCCTCATGCTCATGCTGTTGATCACTGGATTGTCTGGTCCAGACTCGATTATTTACAGACTGCCACCATATAGCTGAAATATTGCTGAGTGCAGCATTTAACAACCCACCCACCAACAAACCAATGAAACAGCGGTACAAAGTAAACATAACAAGATCTTACTGGATCTATGCCGAGTGGGTAGGGTGTACTATTCCTGAAGAACTTGGCAGGGTCTAATGTCAGCTCGATGTCTGGCACCTCAAGCAAATCTTTCCTGGTTAAAAAATGGCAAATGAGGAGATTACTTTGTGTAAATAACAACTTAAAAACAATACTTCACTCATAGAGTCCTTAAATGTGAAGTACATCTAAATTCGACAACTGTAGCCTGTAAACAATCCAATTTGGGCCAGGTATTTTTGTGTTTGCATACCCAACATCACACTTTTAGGGTTCAGTCACAAAACCTCATAGAACCCCTCTTTGTGGTTGTCAGTTCTTTCTTGCAGCAAAATCGCGGGACACAGAAGACGTGTAATTTTTGTTGCTGTTGATAAAAACAAGTGTAAACTTACGGGTAATCAGGATGCCATGCTGATCCAAAGATGTTGAAGCTCTTAGAGAATGCATCATTATAGATGACCCCTGTGTAGGTTGAGAAGAGACCCATCAGAGTGATGATGTAACGACCACCAAAGAAGGTGTTCCAAATCTGAAAGAGTGTATAAATGGTGTTTTACACAACTGTTTGCAATACTGGATTTGAAAGGAAAGGACTTATGTAGACTTTAGTGAATATGAGTGAATTGGAGTGGAGTGGAGTGGAGTGGGAGTGGAGTGGAGTGGAGTGGAGTGGAGTGGAGTGGAGTGGAGTGGAGTGGAGTGGATTGGAGAGGAGTGGAGTGGAGTGGAGTTGAGTGGAGTGGAGTTAACCCATACATGATGTAGGTCATGGATGTTTACTGAAAGCAACTCCCAGAGATGTACAAGCTATGGCTGATAGTTTTGTGGATTAGCTAAGGATGACATAACCTGCTCACCTCATTGTCTGACTTCTGAGCTAGGAGCTTCTTCTCACTGATGATCATCCACAGTCCGAACAGGAACATGAGACTTCCATGGCCAGCATCACCGAACATCACAGCAAACAGGAAGGGGAAGGTGATGATAGCATAAGGAGCTGAAATCACCAACAGTTTCACAGGTAAATCAGGCTGCTGGTATTTTTGTAAAAAAGGCACTTTATGGCCTTGTTCCAGTAGGGATCAAGAAGCCCATCCTTCCATACCAGCCTACAATGGCACTACAATCCATGTGATTTGTGTATGCCACCGTATCAGATTTCACCCACAATGCAACCCCATATATTTTGTGTGCTAGTGTTTTAGCATACAGGCACTCCATGTCAACCTATTGTAGCATTTCTTACTAAAGCTGGCACAAACATTTTAGACAAGCCTCCAGCACATTGCTGTATTCAAATAAACATCACTAAGCTAAAGCAAAAATAACATACAGAGGGATCTTGATGATTTGGGAACAGCCAGGCTATTAAGGAATGTTTATTTCAGAGTCAGGTACAAATTGCCAGCAAAGTCAGCAATCTAACCTACTCGGCCGCTACGCCTTCCAAAGTGAACGGTACTCTACAGAGAAAATGTTATCCCAAACATAACATATCACTTGTCAACTTAACATACGTCAAGGAGTTCCATGATGCTCTGTGGCCCTTACCTGGGTTGACTTCTCTGTAGCTGGCAATGCCATAGGCATCTACAATGTTTTGGAAGCCCTTGGTGAACTTGTTAGTACGGAAGTAGGTGGGTGGTGTCTCAAGGGTCCTCATTGGGTGGATGATTGTAGGGATTGTACTTCCACTAGTTTTCTGAAGAATGAAACACACCATTCTCACACTATACAACTCCAGACATCATTCACCATATACAACTGACATCATTCACCATATACAACTGACATCATTCACCAGATACAATTGACATCATTCACAATATACAACTGACATCATTCATCATATACAACTGACATCATTCACCAGATACAAATTGACATCATTCACAATATACAACTGACATCATTCACCAGATACAACTGACATCATTCACTATACATCATTCACCAGATACAATTGACATCATTCACCATATACAACTCCAGACATCATTCACAAACTGGCCATAATCACCCTGCACAAATGACAACATTCACTATACATCATTCACCAGATACAACTGACATCATTCACCATATACAATTGACATCATTCACCATATACAACTGACAACATTCACCAGATACAATTGACATCATTCACAATATACAACTGACATCATTCACCAGATACAACTGACATCATTCACAATATACAACTGACATCATTCACCATATACAACTGACATCATTCACCATATACAATTGACATCATTCACCATATACAACTGACATCATTCACCATATACAACTGACATCATTCACCATATACAACTGACATCATTCACAATATACAACTGACATCATTCACAATATACAACTGACATCATTCACCAGATACAACTGACATCATTCACCATATACAACTGACATCATTCACAATATACAACTGACATCATTCACAATATACAACTGACATCATTCACAATATACAACTGACATCATTCACCAGATACAACTGACATCATTCACCATATACAATTGACATCATTCACCAACTGACCATAATCACCCTGCACAAATGACAACATTCACTATACATCATTCATCATATACAATTGACATCATTCACCATATACAACTGACATCATTCACCATATACAACTGACATCATTTACCATATACAACTGATATCATTCACAATATAGGCTGACATCATTCACCATATACAACTGATATCATTCAATTATATACAACTGACATCATTCACCATATACAATTGTCATCATTCACCATATACAATTGACATCATTCACCATATACAATTGACATCATTCATCATTCTGACCATAATCACCCTGCACAAATGACAACATTCACCATATACATCATTCACCATATGTTCATCATTCACCATCATACACAACATACAACTGACATCATTCACCATGTATACAACTGACATCATCATTCACCAATATACAACTGACATCATTCATCATATACAACTGACATCATTCACCAGATACAACTGTTCATCATTCACCATGTGCAACAACAACAACTGTTCATCATTCACCATAAACAACAACTGTTCATCATTCACCATGTACAACAACAGGGCTGTTCATCATTCACCATGTGCAACAACAGGACTGTTCATCATTCACCATGTACAACAACAAGGCTGTTCATCATTCACCATGTACAACAACAAGGCTGTTCATCATTCACCATGTGCAACAACAGGACTGTTCATCATTCACCATGTGCAACAACAGGACTGTTCATCATTCACCATGTACAACAACAGGACTGTTCATCATTCACCATGTACAACAACAGGACTGTTCATCATTCACCATGTACAACAACAGGACTGTTCATCATTCACCATGTACAACAACAGGACTGTTCATCATTCACCATGTGCAACAACAGGACTGTTCATCATTCACCATGTACAACAACAGGACTGTTCATCATTCACCATGTGCAACAACAGGACTGTTCATCATTCACCATGTGCAACAACAGGACTGTTCATCATTCACCATGTGCAACAACAGGACTGTTCATCATTCACCATGTGCAACAACAGGACTGTTCATCATTCACACCATGTGCAACAACAGGACTGCTCATCATTCACCATGTGCAACAACAGGACTGTTCATCATTCACCATGTACAACAACAGGACTGTTCATCATTCACCATGTGCAACAACAGGACTGTTCATCATTCACCATGTGCAACAACAGGACTGTTCATCATTCACCATGTACAACAACGGGGCTGTTCATCATTCACCATGTACAACAACAGGACTGTTCATCATTCACCATGTACAACAACAGGACTGTTCATCATTCACCATGTACAACAACAGGACTGTTCATCATTCACCATGTGCAACAACAGGACTGTTCATCATTCACCATGTACAACAACAGGACTGTTCATCATTCACCATGTACAACAACAGGGCTGTTCATCATTCACCATGTGCAACAACAGGACTGTTCATCATTCACCATGTACAACAACAGGGCTGTTCATCATTCACCATGTGCAACAACAGTACTGTTCATCGTTCACCATGTGCAACAAGACTGTTCATCATTCACCATGTACAACAACAGGACTGTTCATCATTCACCATGTGCAACAACAGGACTGTTCATCATTCACCATGTACAACAGGACTGTTCATCATTCACCATGTGCAACAACAGGACTGTTCATCATTCACCATGTGCAACAACAGGACTGTTCATCATTCACCATGTGCAACAACAGGACTGTTCATCATTCATCCATGTGCAACAACAGGACTGTTCATCATTCACCATGTGCAACAACAGGACTGTTCATCATTCACCATGTGCAACAACAGGACTGTTCATCATTCACCATGTACAACAACAGGACTGTTCATCATTCACCATGTGCAACAACAGTACTGTTCATCATTCACCATGTGCAACAACAGGACTGTTCATCATTCACCATGTACAACAACAGGGCTGTTCATCATTCACCATGTACAACAACAGTGACTGTTCATCATTCACCATGTACAACAACAGGACTGTTCATCATTCACCATGTACAACAGGGCTGTTCATCATTCACCATGTGCAACAACAGTACTGTTCATCATTCACCATGTACAACAACAGGACTGTTCATCATTCACCATGTACAACAACAGTACTGTTCATCATTCACCATGTGCAACAACAGTACTGTTCATCATTCACCATGTGCAACAGTACTGTTCATCATTCACTATGTACAACAACAGGACTGTTCATCATTCACTATGTACAACAACAGTACTGTTCATCGTTCACTATGTGCAACAACAGTACTGTTCATCGTTCACCATGTGCAACAAGACTGTTCATCATTCATCCATGTACAACATACTGTTCATCATTCACCATGTGCAACAACAGTACTGTTCATCGTTCACCATGTGCAACAAGACTGTTCATCATTCATCCATGTACAATAGACTGTTCATCATTCACCATGTGCAACAACAAGACTGTTCATCATTTACCATGTGCAACAACAGGACTGTTCATCATTCATCCAACTCAAACACCCTCCAACACAGCTGTACGCACCTCTCCCTGCTTGAGAGCCATCTGCACTTCTTCCAGAGCCCTAACTGGACACCATCCTTCAGCGATGAGCGAGTTATGTGACACGTCAAAGTTGAACATGTTCAGGGTATGGTAGATGGCCTTGATCTTTTCCACCTTGATGATCCATGTTCGAATCTCCTTCTGCGTCCCAACAAGAACACGGTGTCTATGGTCCTGTGTCTGGTTCAACACCTGCAAGCAACAAGAGGAGATTGACCATTACATGGTAGTGCAAACGCACCATTATTGACCTTGACTCTTGCAACAAAGCAATGAGTGTATTCTGGCTGTGTGTTGAATGAAAGAAGCTGTAACTTTGAACTTGGTAGAATACCTCTTCAGTACATTTTTAGTACAGCCAAATATGCTTAAAATGAACACAATTATAATGAACTGACAGATGTAATGGTCTGGGGTTTTTTTTTGCCCAACCACCTGCTGTATATTATAGTCAATCTGCATATATAACAAATTATGTTTTTCAGGAACTAATATTAGTGGTCCCTTTGAGTCTGTTATAACCATGTCTGACTCTGACAGAGGAAACACGAATGATCAACTAACAGCTTGGAAAGACTTTTTGTGAAAACCATTAATTAATGAAAATATTGCACATGGGAAACAGTAAGGAAATGACAAAAAAGCAGCATGATGACAGACCATCTTGAGATCCTCCAGCCTGGTGGACACACCCTTCAACATCTCCTCCCTCTCCTGGGGCGAGTCGGGACAGGGATACAGGGATGCCTTGAACCTACACACAACATGGAGACGTTATGTCATACAAAATACTGGCATTAATAATGATTGATAACTGAGAAGGGCTGCCTTGAACCAATACACAACATGGAGAGGATGTCATTCAAAATACTGGCATTAATAATGATTGATACTGACTGACTGAGTTTAGTTTTACGCCGCTTTTAGCAATATTCCAGCAACATCACGGCGGGTGACACCACAAATGGGCTTCACACATTGTAATTACTGATTGATAAATAAGACGGGTTTAACATTCATTTTAAAGAAACAGTAAACTAGGCTTATAACAAATGCACACTGATGGATGTAAGCAAGTATTTTCTTGGTGAGTGATGAGTGACTGTGTTGGTCATCGACTTGTCCACCCATGCTCACTATGGACAAATGTCATCACTCACCCTTCACAGATCTTCTTGACTCTGGACTTGAGCTGCTCGCCTTGGAAGAAGATGATGAAGACACTCTTGAAGACAGGATCGCCCTGGGGATGTAGTATGGATTGTTGGTACACAGTTGGTACACAGTTGGTACATTCATAATGAATGAATACGTATTACACTCTTTACACAATAGAAATTAACTGGGAAGATAAGCATGGATTTATGCTGCTATTATATTAACATGTCAAGATTTCAAACAATGGGCTACACAAGCTGTACTTAAGTAAGACCTGCGAGAATGAATATTGTGTTATGCTGCTTTCAGTTTGCAATTTCAGCTTCTAGTCCTTACCCCAAGTTTAGTATAATTATGATGGTCTAGTATGCCGAGTCTAGTATGCTGGCTGAGTCTAGTATGCTGGCTGAGTCTAGTATGCTGGCTGAGTCTAGTATGCTGAGTCTAGTATGCTGAGGTCATTACAGTCAATGTTATAACACTACTGATAATAATATTATGTAATATGGGATATGGGGACTATCATGTGATCCCCCTATCAGTGTGTGAAACTTACGCTGGTCCTGTGGTCCCTGGCTAGTAAAAATTCATCAGGACCACTAAATGATAAGTTTGCAGTGGTCCTGGTGGCCAGAGAATTTGCATTGATAGTAAATCTACAAATGTTATTTTGGACCCGTGAAGTACAGACAGGACCACAAATTATTGTCCACTCACTGGTTCTGTGGTCTAGTGGGAAATTTTGAAAAGTTTCTTTCCCTGCACTATCCCTCAACCTGATAAACCACAAGAATTAACAAGTAAATTCAACTTTCGATTCTGGACCATGATTTTCTGGTAACTTGTTATATACAATTGTCAGTACTATCTAAAGCAAATATTGATGGAACATAACGTCAAGCCACTGCCTCATCGATTTCAACATAAAAGAATAAATAATTCAAAAGTCCACAGTCCGACATTTCTTACAGTGACAGGATCCTCCATTGGTTGCTGGATTTCTTCATATCGGAGGAAGACATTACCGCGACAGGCGAACCACAGCATCCTCTCAAAGGCAGGTAACTTCTCTCTTCGGATGCAACCAGCCAGGAAACTACAAAATCATGATGTTTGGAAAGGAAATTAGGGAAAACTTCAAAAGATGTTAACAGGTAAATGATGTTTATGCTGCAAACCTGTTATATCTTAGTGGCCTGTATATAAGTCAGAGCTGGATAAACCGATGGTTGCCAGCATGAACAACAGAGCTGTGTTCAAGCTAACAATAGGAAAATATGGTAATATAGGTATGTGTATTACGATACATATTGCCACATACTGTGAGTTTGTCTGACAGTGATTGGCACTGACTGTACAGGAGAGATCCTGTTGATATATGCTGAAGAAAATGTAACTCAGCATACCACCATTTTCTAGTCTTGGAAACAGGGGAGATAACAACATGACAGGAAAATCACTTCCGACATTTCATGGCGTTAATCAATCTTGAAGGGAAACATCATTTGTGGATAAATTTCTGTATAGAACAAATGGTACAAACCTTCCCATTTTTTATTTACCCACTATACCAGAACACAATAAAAGTATTGAAAGGTGTATTTGTTAAGAAGCATGTTGCAGCGAACTTGAATATCAGTAATAGTATGCGGCCCTAATGAGGATCAGTCAAACTGTTCATGACGCTTATCTAACAGGTCACACATTGTAAGCTTCTGAAAAAGATTGTGGTATTATGGAGCTGTTTTCACCTGGAATCCCAACAGAACTCCAACAAAATACTGAATAAAGTGCAATATTGATCTGGAATAAACATGGCCAACTTGCGAAAAGTGGTCTTTTGGTGCTATGGCTACTGTAACTATTATGCTCACTCACAGATCGTTTTGCACAAGTGGGCCCAGAGATACAGAACAACTGTAGGAACTATTCAAGCAGAGTGTGTTTATTCTTACCCCAGTTGTACTGACTGCTGTGGAGCCAAGCCGACCTCATCTTGATGAAGAGCCTGTTGGGCATCATGTACCAGGCTTCCCATCTCATGCCGGTGCTGAAGTACACATGATACCACTATTTTTAAGAGAAAGTGCGGAGAAAGGGCTGCATACTTTGCTCAACATTTAACTGTCGGTTCAAACTTTACAGAAAATCCTTAATTCTTCTTACAAACAATGAATTAATATCACACATTACCCACAGCAACATGGATGCCTTGAAACAAGTTTGTATCAGCTGTACAAATGTCACATCACCCTAGCCAATCACACACTAATATTTTGGTATTATGCAGAACACAGGATGTCATCTCCAACTTTCACAAATGTACTGAAATGATGCCATCTTGCCAAGGTATGATCAAACATGCACAGGGTAGTATATGAAACTCAGTACCCCTTTACGTAATATTTTCTAAACTTACAGCAGAGAAGAAGTTCTGTGTCTTGAGCAGGACTTCCCTAAGTTCTGTCAGCTCCAGGAAGTTTCGCTTCAGTGCCTCTGCATTTGTGTTAACCTCTCTAAGCTCTCCCTCGATCTTCTCATAGGTGGCCTACATTACACATATACAAATAACATATTATGTGCTTGGGATGTTTTCATATGAAAAGCAACAACATTCATGCAGTTCCCATAGTAATAGCTGGCAGCATCACATATCTATCTAGTGGTATAAAGCGTCTCACCACTTGGGCATGCCAGAAATCTAAGGATGAGTTTGAATCCCAGTTTGTCCAAGGGTTTTAGGGTTTGACAGCACCATACTTGTGCTTGTGGGTTTCAACAAAGTGGTAAAGGTCCAAGGCCTGAATAATTTGGGGTTTTCCTCCCACATTCGGCTAACACACTGTGATATTACTGGAATACTGTTCAAAGCAGTGTTGAACCCACTTATTCACTCACTTGAGACTGTGGGATCGCCTGTACCCAACATTTCAAACTAGAAATCCCTTTTTAACTATGTCAACAAATTTGACATGATGCATAATATCTCACTGGGCATGATGTTTAATATCTCACATTGACAAAGGATACATTTCCCTCTACTATATGTATAAACCCAGGACATAAACATACAATGCAAAGTATTGAAAACAAGATAAGATAAAGACTGAGCCCTTTCAGGCAGTAGTGAGTGAGTGAGTTTAATTAAGACTGACTGACTGACTGAGTTTGGTTTTACACCGCTTTTAGCAATATTCCAGCAACATCACGGCGGGGGACACCAGAAATGGGCTTCACATATTGTACCCATGTGGGGATTCTAACCCGGGTCTTCGGCGTGACGAGCCAAGGCTTTAACCACTAGGCTACCCCACCGCCCAGTTTAATTAAGATGCTTTTAGCAATATTCCAGCAATATCACTGTGGGGAACACCAGAAATGGACTTCCCACACTGTACCATTGTGGGGAACCAAACCCAGGTTTTCAGCATGATGAGTGAATGCTTTACCCACAAGGCTACCCCACTGCCCCTTAGGCAGTAGTAGGGATCAGGTGTAGGTGACACAGCAGATAATGGCCAGTTCTCACCTCCAGGTCAACCATCTCCTTTGGAGCAGGTGCTTTAGGGTTCTCTCCATAGTCCGGGATCTTCAGCTTCTCCTTCTTGATCTCCTTCTCTATGTATCCTGTTGGGGAAATATATCAACATCTAATACAGCTCAGTATATATCCTGTTGGGAAAATATATCAACATCTAATACAGCTCAGTATATATCCTGTTGGGGAAATATATCAACATCTAATACAGCTCAGTATATATCCTGTTGGGGAAATATATCAACATCTAATACAGCTCAGTATATATCCTGTTGGGGAAATATATCAACATCTAATACAGCTCAGTATATATCCTGTTGGGGAAATATATCAACATCTAATACAGCTCAGTATATATCCTGTTGGGGAAATATATCAACATCTAATACAGCTCAGTATATATCCTGTTGGGGAAATATATCAACATCTAATACAGCTCAGTATATATCCTGTTGGGGAAATATATCAACATCTAATACAGCTCAGTATATATCCTGTCAGCGGGAAATATATATATCAACATCTAATACAGCTCAGTACATATATATCCTGTTGGGGAAATATATCAACATCTAATACAGCTCAGTATATATCCTGTTGGGGAAATATATCAACATCTAATACAGCTCAGTATATATCCTGTTGGGAAATATATCAACATCTAATACAGCTCAGTATATATCCTGTTGGGGAAATATATCAACATCTAATACAGCTCAGTATATATCCTGTTGGGGAAATATATCAACATCTAATACAGCTCAGTATATATCCTGTTGGGGAAATATATCAACATCTAATACAGCTCAGTATATATCCTGTCGAGGGAAATATATCAACATCAAATACAGTATATATCCTGTTGGGGAAATATATCAACATCTAATACAGCTCAGTATATATCCTGTTGTGGGAAATATATCAACATCTAATACAGCTCAGTATATATCCTGTCAGGGAAATATATCAACATCTAATACAGCTCAGGAAATATATCAACCTAATACAGCTCAGTATATATCCTGCCCGGGGAAATATATCAACATCTAATGCAGCTCAGTATATATCCTGTTGGGGAAATATATCAACATCTAATACAGCTCAGTATATATCCTGTCCGGGAAATATATCAACATCTAATACAGCTCAGTATATAAATATATCAACAATAAATCAACATCTCAGCTAGCCAGTATATATCCTGTTGGGGAAATATATCAACATCTAATACAGTTCAGTATATATCCTGTTGGGGAAATATATCAACATCTAATACAGCTCAGTATATATCCTGTGGAAGAAATATATCAACATCTAATACAGCTCAGTATATATCCTGTTGGGAAATATATCAACATCTAATACAGCTCAGTATATATCCTGTTGGGGAAATATATCAACATCTAATACAGCTCAGTATATATCCTGTCCGGGGGAAATATATCAACATCAAATACAGCTCAGTATATATCCTGTTGGGGAAATATATCAACATCTAATACAGTTCAGTAGTATATATCCTGTTCAGCATATATATCCTGTTGGGGAAATATATCAACATCTAATACAGCTCAGTATATATCCTGTTGGGGAAATATATCAACATCTAATGCAGCTCACAGCTCAGTATATATCCTGTTGGGGAAATATATCAACATCTAATACAGCTCAGTATATATCCTGTTGGGGAAATATATCAACATCAAATACAGCTCAGTATATATCCTGTTGGGGAAATATATCAACATCTAATACAGCTCAGTATATATCCTGTTGGGGAAATATATCAACATCTAATACAGCTCAGTATATATCCTGTCCGGGGAAATATATCAACATCTAATACAGCTCAGTATATATCCTGTTGGGGAAATATATCAACATCTAATGCAGCTCAGTATATATCCTGTTGGGGAAATATATCAACATCTAAAACAGCTCAGTATATATCCTGTCGGGAAATATATCAGCACCTAATACAGCTCTGTAAAACTAAGTCATGAATACACAACTTTTAGAAAGTGGTCAAATGTACCATGTTATATTTCGGATTACACTTTCTCTGTAAAGTACAGTCCCAGATTCGACTCAACCCACACTCCCAGTCATTCACCTAATTCCCAGCACACAGTATTACATACTATACCAAGGAAGTGTAATCCTAGATATAACATATGTTACATTTGACCATTTGTTAATGGTGTATTCATAGCTTTCAGCCATGGGAGGCGTACTGGATTACACTTGTCAGATGGGCACAAAATACATGATCTGGACTACCAGTTATCTGACTTCAGGTTTTGTAGAAGCCATGGTTGCTGAGTGTGTTAGATCACTGACTTTGAGTGTGGGTGATTAGGTGCCTAGGTGTCTGAGAGTGAAGATTTGAATCCTCCAAACAATACTAGGATCTGCACTTCACTTAGAAATTCTAAACCCAAATATATATTAAACTAAATTTTAACCTTAAAACGTTAACTCTTTTACATCTAACACTTTGAAAAGTTTGACATAACATATATTTTTTCAAAAGTTCGGCAGAGTCAGTGATTATTTCTTTCTGTGACAGGTGATTTAAACATGACCGACACTTATTCATAGCACACATATATACAAGAATTTACGGTAATTCAGTTTACTGGTACAACATAGCTATGTCAGAGACTCCCACATTTCTGCAGACATTGCAACTGTTATTAACATTAATTACATTTACGTGTATATAACTGCGTTCATTTCAATAGTTGCCTGGATCTAATTTCAAAAACATCTGTTCTTGATCACATGGGTGAATCATAAATGCAGTCAACCTGTTCAATGAACATTTGAGCGAAATTATTTGCTTTCATTTTTCTGCTTCTGCACATGCATGATATTGACACCATGAATTTCTCCTCTAGTGATGACACAGGGTAATGGTAAGACATACAACAAACCTATCTTTAGTCTATCGGTTTACGTGGTCTCTGATGATACATATTTGCGTTTTCTGAAAAACACATCCAAAGGAATATATGGTAAACAAATTGGTCATCTGAATCAATGACTCAACAAGAACACTTACATCATATTCTTATCAAGTGTTACCTTTCCTGCCAGTATACTCTCAATACTAATAGTCAGTTAACCTTACAGAGAGGGCTGCGCAATATAACCGGTTTACTGGTACATGTTTTAACCGGTTCAGACATGAAAATGATACATATTGCGATACGCTGATAAAAAAAACGGTATTTTGACATGCATTCGAAAAGCTTCCTAATACTCGGAAATCTTGATAATCGTGGCAACTGTGGTAATGGTGGTGGGAATGATAGTGGTTAAAATTACCTTAAACTGAGAAAAGCAAGATTTATGGATGTCAACTTCTATATTGTGAATAAAGTTGACATCCATAAATCTTGCTTTTCTTATGCATTTCACTTCTAAAGGCCCTTCAAAGATTTTACATTTAACTGGTTTGTTAAGTTTAGTTTGAAGTTGTGTTCTTCATTTTTGTTCAAGTGTTTCGCAATGTTTTGGATCAGAATGTTTACTCATTAATGACCAATTATCCCTGATATGTCCTGACCAGGTCAAATTGCTGTCTAAAATCTCAGGGCTCTTTTGAGAGTGTAGAAAGTAGTTCAAACTAGTAACCACTCTGTTGATGTTAAATTATTCTTTATCTTGTTTCAATTGTGCCAAATATTATTTATATTCTTATTTTCTTATGATTGAAATTTTTATGAAAGCTTAATCAAGCATTGTGATTTTACTTTATGAATAAAGCGTTAACTTGATTATGAGTAGTTTATTGTTAAAAAACCCTACATGCAATATATTGCAATACATATGGCAATATATGCTTTCTCATCGCAATATATCTTAATGTGAAAATTCTCTGCAATACCCACCCCTACTTACAGATATCAACAAGGTTAAGAATGGACCTCTTCAATATTGACAGGAGCCACAACATAGGCCTGGTCATCACTTTTGTGTGTGTGTGGACCAATAGTTGCTCCAAGATCAACCTTAGACTAATGCCTTGTCTCTGAACACATATAATTTTGATAGAAACAGATAATTCCATTTAATTTGAGTGAGTGAGTTTGGTTTTATGCCGCTTGTAACAATTTTCCACGCCTTTGAGCAGCTGAGCTGAGCTGGATATCGGCGCTATACAAATGTTAGTATGTATGTATGTATGTATTCCAGCAATATCACGGCGAGGGACACCAGAAATAACCACAATAATAATACATTTGTAAAGAGCCTAATATCCACCTTACAGATGCTCAGTTGCGCTAATACAGTGATAAAACTGAACATATATACATAAAACAGAGAATGATTATCTACTGGTACACAGATAGAAATAGGTGAGTCTTAAGCTGTGATTTAATGGTGTCTTTATAGGTTGTATTTCTGAGGTTTTGGGGAGGCAAATTCCAGAGTTGTGGGCTGACGAATGAGAAGGTGCGTTCGAAAAGTCCATTTAGTCAGTTTGGTTGAGTCAATGGGCTTCACACATTGTACCCATGTTGGGAATCCAACCCAGGCCTTCCGCGTGACAATTGAACGCTTTAACCACTAGACTACCCCACCATCCCCCCATGTAATTTGAAAAGGAGACTCAGTAAGATGGGAGATTCAGGACCTGAAAATCTGGAGGTGCTTCATTTAGGGTTTTCACAGTGCAGGAAGGGCTTGTGGAAGGGACAATAATGAGTTTCAGGGATTATGAGACAGACTAGATGATCCTAGACTTACGGAGTTTTCTCTCCATCTCCTCACATCGTCTCACTTCATTGACAAACTTCCTCTGGAAGGCATTAACTCCATGGTTTAACTGGAAAATAAGTATCTCATGTTAAAAGGAAGCCAGTGAATATCTACATGTATTTGGTGGTATCAAGAATGAGCATATTGAAAAAATGGAAAGAAACTTTCTTTAACATGCATAACTCGCTGTGCAGAGGGTCAGGTTACATGTTCATCAGTACTTCCATGTCACTGTAGATTTAGTTGTATGCTCACCAGGGAGTTGAGATTGACATTCAATGATCGAGGGAACAAATACCAGCGCCTTGAGCATGCACTAGTGCGTGGATATGTGCGCTATATAAATATCCAATAATAATAAAAATAATAATTTAAAATGGTTGTAGTTTTGAGACATATCACAAAACAATGTAACAATAACATACATTACTGCCATACCAATAAGTACAACACATCAAATGTTCTACTGATACATCAAGTCAAGGCTGAGTGGTAGGTGAAAATTTACATATGCAATTAACATGATATGACAGCAATTTGAGTTGAAACAAAATTCTGTGAGCATGTAAAAAATATTTTTGTGACCACAATGAAAAAATGTCTGCTGTATAAAAAGGTTTTCAGACCAGATGTGACAAAATCAGTGACACCATCATGTAAACGATTGAGCGTGAAGGTCAATAGACTCAATACGTCTAAATATTTAAAAGATGTATTTCTAGTTGCTTCACAGCTGTTGGTTCAGTACACTACAAACTACCTACGCATAAAGAATAAGTATATTAGTGATCTCAGTGACCTTCATCTTCATTATGACCATGATCATGTATATGAATCACTCCAAATATTTTCTGAGTAAGTGAGTGAGTTTAGTTTTACGCCTCACTCAGCAATATTCCAGCTATATGGCAGTGATTTGTAAATAATCGAGTCTGGACCAGACATTCCAGTGATCAACATCATGAGCATCTTTCTACGCATTTAGGATACAATGACATGTGTCAACCAAATCAACAAGCCTGACCACCAGTTCCCATTACTCGCCTCTTACAACAAGCATCGGTTACTGAAGACCAGTTCTATCCCGGATCTTCACGGGGCCACCCCTAAGAAAGACATGTACAAACACTGATTGATCTACAGAAAATTGTTATCATTTGAAATATTTACATTTCTGTCCAAACTCATTCTCTTCCCACAGAGGTTACTTGTCATATCTTCCTACGAACCTCTGTTCTAATACGGCCATATTTCCCGGTTCTCGTAAAATCCCCTAGCGGCAAAAGATCGCAACACGAATTATCTCCCTTCTTTCTATCCCATCAGAACACGTGTTACATCGACTTAGATTCAACTTGACTAACACAAGCAAATGTGAGGCCACAAATATCCCCCATCTGCCGGGGACTTGTGTTGATGTTACACACAAGACGTTTAATGGCTAGCTTGTCCGTTGTCAACGAGGGCGATCGAGACGCCACTGATCCGCCATAACATGACTGAGTTCTGTCTAGAAGAAACGTTTGCGCATCGCGCAGGGGAAGAGGCATACGAATGGGGAAGAGGTTTAGTTTTCTCGAAGTATACGGAAATTACCGAGGCCTTGCGATTGATCACTTTTGAAACAACGTCGCTGATTGCACAACTAAATCTGATTGCCTCCAATCACGAGTCTTGAACGCTCACACCATGAAAGGGCCGTATTAGAACAGAGGTTACGTAGGAAGATATGACAGGAGTAACCTCTGTGGGAAGAGAATGGTCCAAACTATGACCTTGAGGATGTCATTGAACTTTAACTGGTCAACATTACTTAGCTATAATTTATTCTCTAGGTTAAAATGTATATGTGGTATATGATATTCCTGAAATGACTAAGTACAACATCATTTCAAAAACATAGAGTTTAGGTAGCAGTAGAATTCCATAGACAAACCCTTAGGATCTGCTTAAGTGTGTTCCACACACCACATATGAACCCATGAAGATCCGGGTTTGAATTGTCTTCAGTAACGCATGCTTGTCGTAAGCGCAGGCTCACTGACTTGGTTGACACATCTCAACATATCCCAATTGCGTAAGGTCGATGCTCATGCTGTTGTTACTGGATTGTCTGGTCCAGACTGGATTATTTACAAATCGCTGCCATATAAACAACCAACCAACCATCACATATGATCAAATCTCATACCGACACATGCAGAAAAGTTTCAGAATTGGCGAAAAAGATTTTCTTGATAAATATCAATCAAAAACATCATAAAACAGATACCAAATGCCAAAGTGTTCAAATTTGGGATCTGATATTTGTCAATTACGGGAATTGACCCCACTCACATCTTTGAACTGCATGAGTCCGAGCTCCCCGAGTTCGGAGACGCAGGCGTAAGCTGCCTCTGACTGGAGGAACAGCTGACAGAGGGACATCTCCTCACTGCGGAATATGGTCCCCATGTTGATTCCTTTTTCCACGTGGGATCTCTTCTTACACTTCACTTGTTACACCCTTCTGAAAATAAACAACCATCTGAAACAGTCGGTCTTATACACCATGCTGATCATTATCTAAAGGTTTCTTACTAAATCCATTTCTGAAGGAAAACTATTTCTCTAAGAAGAAATCCATTTCTCTAATAATAGCATTTGTATATTCCAAATCAATTCCTCAATCATTAGATGCATGATGAACGAGCTCAAGTGGAGATGTCCAAAATGTACATGTTGATTTGACTGAACATGTTTGTTGAAAAGCCTGGTGACAAAAATAAACAGCTGATGGTCTTCCCGGGTCAGTCACCTGGAACACTGTGGTCAGCGATGGATATTGGTGTATGCATCCTCTGTTCACAGTTAGAGGATAAAAGACAGAAAATATGGTCCATGGTGGTCATACAGTTAACCTGATGCTCGATCATCCATGTTGGCCACTAAAGGTCACAGTTGTATATCGATGGATGTGGAATAAGTTGTGAAACAAATGTCATGTTCCTGAAATAATCCTGCTGGAAACAGACAAAGTAATGAACCAGCAAGAGTGAGATAAACCACTTATTGTCATGTATATGCAGGATTCAAGTCGTCAACTGTAGATCCCCTTAAGGTGTATTGAGTGTCTGCATCAGGTTTTTATATTTTGACATCCCATACATCACAATCATGAATTCACTTCAAAACATTAATTGCAGAAAAAATAACATATTTCCGAATTCTAGATTCAGACTTTTTAAACAAAAACTACACCTGTGCCTATCAAAATCATTCCTCCCCTCGGCAACATGAAAAATGTCATGATCACACTAACAGAATTCTGAATATTATTGGATATTGTGTGAATCTGTATAGTTATTTGTAACATATTTACTGAAGACCATAATGACATGTACAAACTACAGAGTTACGTACCTGTTACTGACTTGTCGGTAGGCACTTCATTCAACACTGTCTATATTACAGATGTAAGACTAATTCTATCTAAACATTCTCAATGTTCACTTTGTTTAGAACCTAGCTTGATTGGTCTCCTAGTCCTACTAAGGTCTTGCATGTCATGACACATTGTAGTCCTTGATAAAGGACTTTTCAAACACTGTGAAAAACCTTTTTGATTCTACTGACTCAATATTGTCTATAACCATCCTTTTTGTAGATGTTCATGTTTCTTTTTCAGGCTCTTACCAGGTGAGCTTAAAAGAACAAATGTAATTTTACTTGACTCAGACTTTGGACCAGTAGCAAAGGTCGTGAACTACTTTTACTGGATTTGAGATATTGTGCTTTTTAACCCTTTGTTAATCAATTCACATTTAGATTATGGAGGCAAAACATTTATATGATACTGTATATGTTCTATATTATATATCACACATACATCCATACTTTCCAAAATCAACATCATTGAAGTTGCTGTCAGTTTTTGAAAAGTGGATGACATGACACATTATGACTGACTGACTGAGTTTAGTTTTACGCCGCTTTTAGCAATATTCCAGCAACATCACGGCTGGGGACACCTGAAATGGGCTTCACACATTGTACCCATGTGGGGATTCGAACCCGGGTCTTCAGCGTGACGAGCGGACGCTTTAACCACTAGCCTACCCCACCGCCCCCTACACATTATGATAAGAAACAGAGACAGCCGAGACAACAGACAATTCACTTTACATGAGTAATCAACAACTGTCTGGTGAATATTAATAATACCTGAATATTCATGGTGTCTCTGACTCCATGAATGCAATGTTTATCTCATCCTTGGTGAGGAAGTGAAACATTTATGTTAATGCCTACAGCAGTCTGCAACATCACATGACAGCATTACTCATACAAATGTAGATGACATTCAAACAGAATTCCAGAGCAATGCCAAATGTCTGTTTCAATAGATTAATGCAACAGAAAATGTTTTATGACACACAAAAAATGCGGATATGTTTTTTGTGTACATATGGAAATGGAAAATATGCATTTAAAGCTCTACAAAAAATAATATACATACATGTATTAAACATGCTAAAATATTTTCATGTCATCAAAATACACTTATTAATGCCCAAGGATCAGCTGTCTCCAGCAACATTAAACACACAAAGCAACATATTTTTCATTTTCCAAAAAGCAGCGAATTGTTGAACAACGTTTAACAGATTAACATCATCTTCATACCCTTGATTAAATGTGATGAAAGCCGTACAAGAACATAAATGACTATTCTTCAAAATAACATCTTTTGATATAGTTGTATTACTTTTCACACACAAAATCCTTTCTCCTACCTGTGTTTCCCTCAGTCTCCTAGTTATCACCTAACGTCCTTCAGTCTGACAAGGTGACCTCGTCAAGGGACTGATCACAGGTGTCTGAATCAACATTGCTGGACAGGATCCTAGCATTGCTAAGTCACTGGGTGTCACAATTATCTACATGCCTTCTACATACACGACATTGTCCAACAATAGCATGCTGTCTCCTGTTGCATTAAGCCTTAACTACTGACATTAAAGTTTAACATGTTTATAGGGAAAGTTTGACATGGTTAATGCATGACTTATCAAACTGTTACTGATCCTTAAAACATGCTAAATATGTTTATTTGAACTGCCTGAAATTGGTTTTTGTTGATCAGACTACAACATTTGCAAATATTCAATTGGTTATCATGTATACCAACACAAATATCTCTAACATAAACTGGTTAGATTTTACAAAATTAGTCATGGTTTCTTGAATTCATTGAACAGCTGGTATTTTGATAATCAAGAATATAAATACTGTTAAATATCCAACATCATATGTGTATGATAGGGCACCTGTTGCTGAAAATGTTGTTATTCAGAATCTATATTGTTTGAACCATATAATATGCCTCATCATCAATATTACAGCTGTTCATCATGTTCATAGATAATTGGTCTAATTAGTTTAATTAGTCTCATCCATAAGTAGTTAACTCACGAAAGTTATGAGTAAAAAGCAGTTTATCAACATTGCTATATTTCGTGTCCACTGTTTTTGAAAATAGGAATCGAACATATTCTCTAGGCTTGTATCAAGGTTTTAAAAGGAAATGAGTGAGTGAGTTCAGTTTTATGCCCATTCATCAATATTCCAGCAATATCACTGCGGGGGACACAGAAATGGGCTTCACACACACTGTATCCATGTGGGGAATTGAACCTGATTCTTCAGTGTGATATGAACGCTTTAACCATTAGGCTATCGACACCACCCTTAAAAGGAAATGTCTGAATCCCATAAAATATGAATGTGGGTGTCTGGGCGCATATGTTTGCATTACCCCATGCACTGAGAGTGTAAGGAGTTATGGATTGCTCGACTAGTCTCACTACCATACAGGTGTCACCATGTATTCATCATTCACTGACTGTATTCCATTATTGATTATGGACAAGCTGTCATTGCTTATATACAGATACATAGATATACAACTGTACACAAGGATTCCACAGAACAATCATCAGTATTTGGCTAGTGTAGTCTGAATATTATTCTGGGTTTATAGGTTCAAACACTGGGACATTTGATATAAGATGTAACTGCCAGTTCCCAATCTGGCAACACCATGCTGGTGGTAAGGGCTGACTTAATGTATCGGAAGGTCAAACTCCATGTCTTGTAAAACCCTGTTCGAGAATATTGCTAGTAATTATCAGTAATAATTAGACTTATAAGTGGATGGAGCATTTAGAAAAAGGCAGGGTGAAAGGACTTTACTGACAGGACAGTTAACATGTCAGGTCTCTGAGAAAGAGGTAGGGTTGGTTGGCACGTATGGGGTGTGTGTGTGTGGGGTGTGTGGCAGGAGGGGGAAAGAGAGGGAGAGATGGGGACGGGGCTCATCCGCAACACCACCCCATCCTACCTCTGTGGATCTGCCAATAGAACTACAAACCCACAGAGTTTAGTATTTAAATGTCTTGATGCATTTTAAAGGTATTCATGGTGGCTGGCAGACTTTCAATGAAATCCTCAAAAACAGATATGGTGCTGATAGACCAAGAATAACAACAAGTTCAAATCTGGGATGACAGTCAGCACTGACAACTTACAGTCCTAAAAGCCACTGAACCTTCTCAAGGACAGATGACACTTCTGATTTCTTGGATAGGGGATTACTGCACGGCACTTCACTGACAAACCAGTGACACCCCACAACAGCTGTCATTCTGTGTGAACCATGGAACATGCACCACCAAAATCTCATACCACGATTATTGCTCATACACTTCTACATATTGAATTCATAGTCCAGGTATGAAACATGATATATTCAACTCATTTTCTGTCATACACACCACAAAACTACTTCCCCTATTCAGCAGTCTTAGACTCAAGGACTTAGTCAGTAAACACGATAAACATTATTCAACAGTTCAGATGCTTAATAAAATCTGTGGCCACTTGTCGATATTGCAGATGTCGTGGTGATGTCTTACATGAACAATTTGTAGCTCGGATTCGTAGGTCACCAGCAGCCAATCTTTGCTTACAGACCACAAGAAACCAGGGCTAAGATCACAATATAAGGCTCAAGGGACTATGTTCCGCTAAACACTGTCTGAACAGAAGGGACCTGTGAAGATCCGGGGTAGAATCTTCAGCAACCCATGCTTGCCACAAAAGGCGACTATGCTTGTCGTAAGAGGCGACTAACAGGATCGGGTGGTCAGTCTCGCCGACTTGGTTGACACATGTCATCGGTTCCCAATTGTGCAGATCGATGCTCATGCTGTTGATCACTGGATTGTCTGGTCCAGACTCGATTGTTTACAGACCGCCGCCATATAGATGGAATACTGCTGAGTGCGGCGTAAAACTAAACTCACTCACTTTCTTCATCTACCCAACTTCTAGAATGCCAATCAAAGAAGTCACTGTCTGAACAAGCTCCCCACTCTAGTATGTGATTACAGTGGCACACACTGAAAGTAGTCACTGGGGAAGGAAATCAGTCTTGACATCAGCATGATCAGTCAAACCTAACAGTCA